AGTAAGAGATGATCCCCAAAATTTATAACTGCAAACAAAATTCCAATAACTGTAGAAATACGTTTTGAATTTTTGTTTGGAATGTAATGAAAAAGATTGCTTTGAAAAATATATTTGAAGTTTAAATTTTCAGCAGTGAAACATCTCTAGTGTGTCATTATATTGACATTTTTTGCAGTTGTTGTCAGAGAGAAAGAAAAGGGAGGTGGCTTTATTGATCTCAGCACTGAGTTCACAGTTGCCTTCAGTTTCTTCCACTGACAAATGTGTCTGACTTGATTCATATTCAAGTAGAACTGTTGCATTTTTGTGCCAGTTCTACAGTTTCTACATCTCAGCTTGAGTTGGTGAGAAAAATATGTGCTAATTTTGGGTGGGGGAAAAAATAAATCATCACAGCCATGTTTCACAATGTTCACTTGTTTCCTAATCAAGAAAAGGATTCTCATTGAATTTTTTCTCCAAATAGTTTCTTTGTAATGTTTTCTATTTTAATTTCCTTTCTTGATCCTTTTAAAATCACTTCTTACAAAACATGTTTATTTTATGGTTGCACAAGAATATTGTTATTGAAGATGAATCTGAGCTAAATGCACAGTTTTTGGTTTTAAAGATTAATGTGTTAAAGTTTAAATATGAATTAGACAAGCAAAGAGTAGAAATACTTAATTTAGGGCCTGATGTAAGAGCCTTTGCTATTCTTCCCGTTTCTTTCCCTTTTTTCTAGTTGCAATTGCTTTTGATGCTACACTTATCTATTAGTATATCTTAGCTAAGTCTTACATGGAATTTAAAACTTCTAGGAATCATGAGTGTGATTTCTTGCATGGATATGATTAGTTACAGCATGGAACTAAAATCTTTATTAACAAGAAAAAAAATTGTCTGACTCAATTGAGTCACCTTTTTAGTAATTGATACCTGATTTTTCATGACCATAGATTTCAGTAAAACAAGAGGGGAAGAAGAACATCTTTTGAGTTAAACTTGTAACTGGCATGTGGTGTCTAGAGCAAAATTGATTTGAAAATATAATTTTCTCCTTTTGGCTATTGTCTAATCAGTTTTGAAATAAAACTGTAGAAGAAAGCTAACCAGAGAGAGAAAACAAACAGGAATTAAAACATAATCCAGTATTACATGACTCTGTCAAGAGAGTACTGAAAGTTATTAAGACTCCATTACATGCTGGAAGCTGAACATTTGGTTAAGGGCTTTCCTAATGGTGTTGATAGAAATTTGAGGCATTTAAAATTGTAAATATTTTTTAACTAACTAAGGCTTAGTGACCTGACACACCTGGGAATGGTTAAGCAAGGATAGAGGGACATTTGCAGTGCTTATAGTCTGCAGAACTTGATCTATACAGAAGGCACGGATGACTTGCACATCAGTGTAAAATATGTCAAGGATTAGTATTCTGTGATTTGTCTTTTTCTGTGTTTAGATTTTTTTATCACACCATCTTAATTACCTCACATGGCTTTTTATATGTTCTAGCTGGTATTTTGACACAAGTAATTGATGCACTTCCAAGGCAAAGAGAAAGGGTGAGGAATACTTGCAGGAAGGATGTGTGAGGAGGAAAGGTAGCTGGAGGCTGAAGGGAACAGGAGACAGGGCAGAGATCAGGCCTAATGGCCACATGCCTTATGCTTTGTGTCATGACTGGTGCTGTCTCTTCTGGTAGCAGTACAAAGTGAGCTTTCTTATCCAGCCACATATCTTTTCTCCTTGGGATTTGATCCAATGTGGAATCTAGAGGCAGAAGCAATCCTCTGTCTTCTGAGCTTTTAGGACATAGTTTCGCATGGAAACTTATCTTTGTAAACCTCCTGGCTTGTGGAAAAGCAGGATTCTCAGTCTGATGGGCACAGACGGCTGGAACCAGGGTTCACATGATTAATTTGGGCAGCAGCTGTGGATGAGAGAGTGTTTTAAAGGTTGCAAAAGAAAAGTCTAAAGCTGGAATAAGATAAGTCTGTGACTCCACTTAGGATGAGCTTGTGTGCTGTGAGTCACCAGCTGAGTGTGCGAGGTGAGAGCTCTCTTGGCATAAACTGAAGTGTTTCTTCTCTTCCCAAAAATGAATCACCTGCATCTGAGTGTATCTTTCTGTTAGTTTTAAGGAGTAAACAATTTTCAGAGGCCTCAGCACATTCAAATACGTGCTTTTTAGTGGCATAACAGAGTGTGTTTCACACAAAGGGATCTCACTCACCTGTTGGGACCAGTATTTTTTAGGCTTTTCCCAGAAACATGTCTGGAAGTGCCAGAAACACTGTCCTGCTGACACTGAAGCTTTATTCCCAGAAGTATCACCAAGTAAAGGCAGTAATGCAGTCAAAACTTTCAAGTGATCTTTATTTTCAGTCTACTTCTGTTCATTCTTACTTTGTCCACTTCCACAGAGATCTCTGTGAAGTCTCACATGAGATACAAGATGCCTTGCAACCACCATGAGTTAATTTGATTTATTTTTTTTTTCTTGTTCTTGGGGGAGTTATATCTGTTTAGATGTGATCAGTTACTTTTTGTGTTTTCCTTTTTACATAAAAACAGGATAGATAATGTGACATGTAATTGAGGGGTTTTGTTGTAGATGTTAGCACAAAATGTAAGTGGCTGGGTTTGGTACAGTGGGAGCCACATTAGATGTGTGAATGGATATTTCTTGGCATTTATGTGTATTTCATGTGCTGTATGAGAAGCTATTTCAGATGTGCAAGTCCCGTTTTCACACCTTTCACTTTGACTCTCATCAAGCAGTTTAGACTTCAGTCTGATTGGCTAAGGCTGTGGCAGGTTACATTCTGAAGTAGGTGGTCTCCTGGACTGAGTATCCACCACAGAACCAGCAGCTTGAGACCAGAGGTCTTCAATATTGCAGTCAGACAGGCTCCTATCCCAACTTTCAGTAACATGGAAAAGGAATTCTCTATGAATTTTTCATTGTATCAGTTGAGTTTGCCCTTGACTTAGGGATTTCCTCAGGATGGTGCCACCTGTGTCACTTTGTTTTTAAAATAATACAGTTAATTTTTTTAGTTCAGCACCTTAACATCATTGTCTCAGAAGATAAGACAGCGTGCAACTAACTGCAACTTTTCTTGAAAATATACATATCTGTGATCAACTGAACTGAATTTCTGTTTCTCACTAAAGGAAATGTTGAGATACACAGGTTGCACTTGCTTGATCATGAAGATCTGGCACTGGAGTATTCCCCAATAAAACTGGCTGTGGAACCAACCTGTGATTTCAATCCCACAAAAGTTGATTTACTGGCTAATTTGTCATTTGCCAAGTCCTGCCTTTTGTCTTTTAAGAATGTGTTTGAACAGATTGTGGAAGATAATTCACATAGCTTTTCCCTTGCTAGACAAAATACAAGCTTTTTTTTTTTCCCTTTTCCTTTTTTTTTTTCCCCCTCATATCTGCAATTAAATATAGAAGGCATTGGAAATTTTTCTATATTGTTAATATTTTGTTGGGTCAAGTGTCTTCTTTTCCCTTTGATGTCTTTTGAAGATATTTCTATTATGAGGCAATGAGAACATTAAATGGTGCATATTTTTCACATTAAATATATTTGAACAGTCTGCAGAATAGAAAGTATATTATGTGTTTTATAATCTAGTATAATTACCATTGTGAACTTTAGTGACTGGAACTTATCAGTAAGCGGGTTGTTGTTACAGCTGGTTGATACATTTTCATTTATGGCATGAACTTCTTCCTTCTATTTCTTACTTCTCTGGCTAACCTGACTTCCCCATGGTATGACAAAGAATAACAGGGTGGTGCTACAATGCAGGCTAGTTATTAGTTTTGTATATAAAAAATTCTATGGAGAAAGGGGTCAGGAAAAGAATTGCTACATTCTGAAGATGACCTGATGTTACCACATTATGTCTAGTGATTAGTTTTTCCACAACTAATAGCTTTTGCACATGTGCAGGTAGGATTGGCTGTCTTGAGTTTTGTTTTCTCTAAATATTCAACTTGTTATTTATTCATTAGAAAGAATCATCAGAACTTACTTAAGCTTGTAAAAGTCACTGGCAGGGAGTTGCTCTTAATTAGAGGATGTATAATTTATTATAAATCTATTTTTATCATTAATAATACTCTGATGGGATATTTATTTCAATCCCTTCTCCCATTTCCTGAGATTTGACACTTCTTGAAAGATGGAAAAGCTTCTGAGGAAGCTGTCTTTTTCTTAAATTTCAGAATAGCTGATATAAAAAAATTAAAATGTAAATTCTAAATGAGGTTACAGATAATTTTTTTTTTCTTAGTTTACCTATAGCAGAACCTTTCTTTTGTATTACCATGTACTAAAGTAGTCTTACAGTAGAAAAGTGAGGTTTGTCTGCACATGATGGGAAAAAGTTAAAAGGAGTGGGAAAGGAAAAAGAGTAACTCTTAAATGAGAAGCTTAAATATTCAGACACATCAAAACATTATTTGAAACAGACTTTTGGACCAATTTCCTTTTGCAACCATGTATGTACTTTTCCATCATCCTCATATTTTAAGTCTGGGTGGAAAATAACCATGTTAGTCTTAAATGCAAAAGATAGGCCTATATTATCAAATTCATAACACTCACTCTTCCACAGTTACTTTGCTCAGCAAAGGCAGTGCGACAGGTAGGTACATTTAAAAAAACTTGAGGAAGATTATTTTGCATTAAATATCTGCTTATCAAGATACCACCTACATAAAACAACATGTATATTGATTATGGGAAAATATGAGTCTGTTGGGTAGGTTTATTATTAATGGGAAAATTCCTGCTTAATGCTGCATTTAATAATTTAATCAGTCATCCTACTATCTTCAGGCCCAGTTCAGAATTAAACCCTAAAAACATCAGAACCAGTCAAAATGGCTTTATAACCAGGTGTATTTTGGTACCTATTCTTTCTTTTAATTTAAGTTAGCTGTGATATTTAGTCAAATACTTTAATTAGCAATGTTATGTTTTTCAGGATGGGAAGAAGAAGTTTGATAAGGAAAGTGAGAAATATTATTCCATCCTAGAGAAGCACTTAAATTTATCAGCAAAGAAGAAAGAATCTCATTTGCAAGATGTAAGTACTAAACACACTCTTAACCAGAATCACATTAACATAGAGATAATTATAATGGTTCTCTTTGAGACATGCTTATTTTATGAATGTGAAATTGTGATGATTACTTATAGTCACACTTCTTGTGAATATTAATTCTTGAGTAGGATTAATATGACCCTAATGGGAGTTAAATATTTTAGTGAGGCAATGTTCTACATGCCCAACTTTGTGTACTTAAGGTACAGTTAAAGTTCATTGGTTGCAATAACAGAATTGTTACTACAGTAAAGGTATTTTTATAAGATATATATGGAATATTTGACAGTCAATTATTTAGGTGTTTTTTTTACTGTTTGATTTATTAACTTTCACATAAATTTCAATTTGGGAGATTGAACTGGGATAATTTGATATTTTATTCCTTTTTTCCTCTTTTTCATCTTATTCTGAGATTGCAGCATCATGCCCTGAAATTGTATCCACAGCTTAAATTTTGAAGACTGGCTAATTCTCTGTGAAGAAAACAAACTCCTAAAAAAACCAAACCAAACCAAAAAAAAACCAAACCAAACAAACAAACAAAAAAACCCACCAAAACACAACCCATGATGACACCTAGGTTAACAGGAGGGTTCTAAGGCTTTTCAGTATCCTGGTAGAAATAATTATGATGTGTCTTTGAGGAAAATTACAGTAAAACCAATTTGATATCAATGACAAGTATCCTGTGTATTGATGAAGAAGCAGTTCTGTAATAGGCTAAGCACCAGCTGAGAAAAAAATATTTCTTACTAGAATGTGGAAGAGGGAATTAAGCACCTATTTACTCTAGAATAGAAATAAAGTAAATAGAATAAAATATTTTATTCTTGAGACATGAGAATAATTACAGTCTAGAAACAGCAACTGAAGTGAAAAGTAAGAACTGTGAATCTAATGAACTGTGATAGAATAACAATGGATTTGGCTCAAGTATATAAACTAATGGAAAACCAGAATAATGTTTTCCACTGTGTCCTTAAGTGGCATCTCTGGATTTTAAAATCTGGAGACAGACGCTGAGGTTGTTTGCTTTTCTGGATGCCCCACTGGAAAGCATCTAAGGCTGTCATTTCTGTCTCTCCCAATTTCATGCACCTATAGGTCTGTTGAACCAGCAACACAGACCCACCATAAGTAGAAGGTGCAATAGCAAATTAGTGTCAAAAATGTCAAGCAGGGAGACTTTTGGCCTGCATGGCCTCCATAAATGAAAGGAAGCCAAGCACCAATTCCTGTCCCGAAATCTAAGTGATAGCTGTTGATTTACAGAACCCATCTATATTCAGGATGCCTCTTGGTTGTCCTAAGTATCATTACAACTACAATCTGCTTAAATGCTGTTCAGAATAGAGATTGATTTAATTAGATGTTTAAATACATTTTCTGAGCCTGCAAGAGCTAATTTCTAAAACTAGATTCTATTATTTGCTTACAATTAAATGTGAGAGCTGAGGTCTGTCTCAGGTGCTTATTGACTGGTTCTGTTCAGCTATGTAGCACTACATTTGCAAATGTATTTTTGTGAAATAAGACTATTAACACAGACTATCAGAGAACAGTAGCGGAACACACTGCATGAACGGCCTCATGACAGAGATAATTCTGTGGTAAAGCACTTGACTATTAGAATTGTGAGTGCTTGATTTTTGCTTTATAATGCTAGTGTTTGTACCTAATTTCCTAATTATTTTTTTTATAGGCATGGGAAGGAAATGCTAGTACTGAGTCACTTGAAACATATTGTCAAAGCCACAGCTTTGAAGTAGTGCTAGAGCGCTGTGCTAGGGAAGTGGATCGATATTGTTAAGAGCCCAGACACCCAAATCGTGATAGTAGCATGTCCGTAACTAAAGAAGGGATCAAATGATATATGGTGCTATCGAAGACCACGTCCTGCCTGACTTTTTGCAGTTGTACTGCTGAAAGTACTAAACCTCTTTTCTCATGTTTTTTCTGCTTTAATATTTGTTATGGAAGACAACATCTAGCTTTTCCACTTTTCCCGTGTTTGTTATTTTTAAGGCCAGAATTGAATGAGAGAGCATACAAAAGTATCCTGCTACATTTTAACTGGCATACATAAAAAACAGCTGAACTGGTTTTACTCATACTGCCAATACTTGATAAAATTTCTTTTTGACCTAAGACCAAAATGTAACTAATGCAGCCCAAAACGGATTTGCTTGAGAAAATCATTTTTTATGCAGAATTAAAATCGAATCTGCATCTCTTCTGTAGGCATTATCTATATGCTACACTGCTTCTCTATTAGGTCCCTCTCCATGGCTTGTTTAAATTGTGATTAAAAGCCTGCTACTCTTTATCAGCTGATAAGAATTAATTATTTAGTTTAGGCAGAAGACTTTGTTTTGGTACCGAGTCTTCCTGTCGGGTGGTATTATTCAGGCACTTCTGACAATTACTGCCTTGTAGTTCTTGAATTTGAAAATTAAAGCGTGAAAAATAGTTGATGTATGAGGTTAAGGAGTTAAGTATGTTTATATTCCAAGAGCACGTGACTCATACTATGAAATATTAAGTTGTAAGATGTCATTTTAAAGACAGTCTACTTAAGAAGAAAATACCTTTATTGGGAAGGTATTTGAAGCAGAGAAAAATATATAATTCAGTGCATGTGATACTCTAACATTTCAATAGAACTTTTAAACTTTTGTCTCTCTTTAATTCATATCTTACTCTATTTCTTTTTCTAAATTTTGAATATACCAGGGACAGTGTTCCTGCTGCCACATTTCTTTGTTTCTTTCCAGGCTCTCCTAAAACATAGAATATTACAGTGCAAAAATAAGAGGAAATTAAAAAGGCGTGGGGAAAAGACATGAGGTTAAAATGTGTAATGTTAGCTTCTTAAACTTACATTTAGTTATTTTATGTAGGTATTCTTATTTTCAGGAAGAAAACTGAACCCCATGAAACTCGTAATGTAGTCTTATGAAAGGTCTGTTTGTTAATGACAAAATCTGTTTTTAAACCATGAGAGTAAATTAATGTTGTCATTATTTCCTGTTGTCTTTTAGGCAGATACACAAATCGACAGAGAACATCAAAACTTTTATGAAGCATCATTAGAGTATGTCTTTAAAATTCAAGAAGTACAAGAGAAAAAGAAATTTGAATTTGTTGAACCTGTGAGTTTGGTGGTTTATTTTCTCTCGAATGCATTTAAAGATGAAAATTGAATTTAAAATATCTGGTTTTTGCTCCTTTTTTAAAACTGTGATCACAAGTTGTTTGTACACCAGCAGACATTAAGATCTTGGCTTGGGCATTTCCATGTTTATTAAATGTTTATGTAAGAGTCTCATATCTACTGTGAAGTGAAATGTCTGATGAATTTGCATAATGAACACACATAACATTTCAATGAGAAAATACAATTTTCTCTCTTTGCAACACATAATGTGTTGGCTGAAATGTTGATATTTTTTGAGTTTTTTTATTTAAATGTTCCATGGAGGCAGTGTACATATAGGGTTTTCTGAGTTAAATGTAAAGTGAAAAATTCAGTTTTTCTGTAGGATTGGTAAGCTTATTTTTTTGGTCTATGGACTCATTTGTCTTTAGTTTACTTTACAAATTAAAGAAAGCTTATGTCGTCATGCTATAAAAGGGGAAGATAATGTGTTTCAAAGTCCACATTTAGATCTGGGACTTTCTCCTGGGCTGTTTCTGCCCCCCACCCCTAACTGTGTTCTGTGTCAGTTAATAACAAAGCTGCTTCAGTGTGATGTGCTAGCATATTTCTGTGGCATACTAGTGATATTACTACTGCTCATCTCATACAAGACTGGCATGCTGATTACCTTATTTAGATAGTACCTCTAGCCCCTGACAGAGAACTTGCAATGTCATCTGTCCCTTTCCATTAAGCATACTGAGCATAGCAGAGCAGCAGTTATGAAAGAGGAACATGACAGGTATAACTCTTTTCTCTCTCTCCACACCATCTTCCAGCTTCCTTATAACTAACTGAAGCAGCACTCTTGACTGTGAAACAGGTTGAATTACATCTCTTAACACCCAGTGTCACCAGGAAGAGCTTCTCAGGATGCCTGCTTTCCATAAGATGAGAACGTATTGTATAGACAATGTTTGACATTGATGCAAACTAATGAAGCTGAATTCAGCAAGCAGTACTTACAGAAGTCCTATCTTCATGGCACACAGCTGCCAAGTCTTAGAGACTAAAACTTTGCTCGTATTCCTCAATAAGAACATTTTTCTACCTGTCACAGATTAATCCTGAGCGTCTCTCTCTGTCTGCTTCAAAACTCTTACTTCCTGCAAAAAGCGAGTAATCTTGACCTAGCGTTGACCCTTGTAGAGTAGCCTTTATGCTACTTTAAAGTAACAGAAACTTTCTGTATTGAGAAGATTGTACATTGGGAAACATTATTATGCAATTGCATGTAGTTAAAATAGGGCGTCTTTCATCCAATGTGATAGACAAAGAAGAAAAATTAATTGGGTTTTAGGTGGACATGCTGAGCTTTATCCTTTTGACCAGGAGCTGTCTCCACGCTATGTCAGCCATCACAGCAGCAGCTCTGACTTACAAAAAGTGAAGGAGCAATTTAGCAGTGCATCAGTGCTAATACTGAGCCAGCAAGCAGGGGAGGTTACTGATAAAGGCAGTCTTGTGGACCTGGATATTTTTGTCACCAGGTGTACACATCCAGTAGGTAAAATTTAGTTTTGAGTGGATCGGTTGCTGTCCTGTGTCAGAGAAGATAGTCCAAACCAATGCAAGTTTCTGAGGATGTTGTAATTGTTAGAATACAAACTCCTTCCTAGAGCTCCACTTTTTCCCTCAGCAATACCAGGACTTCCTTGTACTATAGGAATGCGGGCACAGAGCTCATAAGCAATAAAATATCTGAAATGTGAGGGTGGTCCATTAAATGTCACGAAAGCCCAGAAGTGTTTATTTAAAGAAAAAAACAAAACAAAACTTAAAACACCGATCAACAAACCCTGCCTGTAATTACATGCAGTTCCGTGAGACTTCACTGTGGACCTTTAACTCAATTTCCTCTTCCTAGGATTTTCTACATTATTAGCTGCATTCACTTTAATCTGATGGATAAGTACCTTCTGGTGCTATCTGCTTATAAATAAAATGAAACCAAGGAGACAGAGACTTCTGGCTGATGTGCTACAGGCCAAAGGTTAAATTCCTCCCCTATCCGAAACCTAAGTACAATCTTCTTCCTGTGAGAATGCAATGACCAGGCAGTCTTGAGGTCACCGTCTCTACATAAAAATAAATAAAGTCTCAAGAAGTAGTTGGATTTTGTTTCAGGTTCTGTGTTGAAATCCTCGTGGTGCTGGGGTAGTGAGCAGCATTGTATTACCAAGTTCAGACTTCGGTTTTTGTTGAGGTGACTGATTAGATGCTTATATTGAGATAACTATAAATCACTTGTTGAAATGAAAAATTGTACAGGCATTGTACATGATGTTTTGTGAAACAAATCACCTTTTTACATGTAAAGACCACCTCAAAATACACTTAAAAAATCTTTTTTGAAAGAAGAGATGTTTTCTTTATTATTTAATAAAAATCTCTTTACATTTATGAGCCTGCTTATAGCAGCAGTGCCACTTGTAACACCAGTCACAAGAAAACCCCACTGTGAGCATAAGCCTAGGGCAAAAGTCCTTGGCTTTTAGATCTCCACGTGATCCTATGTCTGTACATGTCCTGATGCAAGTGGTTATGAAGATGCTGTAACAGCCTAAGCCCATTGGGTAAAGGGGGTTTTCTGATCCATGTTCTTCCACCACTAGTGACACATACGCAGAATCAAATACCATCCTTAGTGTCAGTTGTTTAAACACAGAATTTGCATAAGCTGGTCTAACACTTGCATAAAATAAGCATATTTTTACTTTTTTTCTAACTGCTCGGAGAGTATTTCACCAAGATAACTTCAAGGCCAGATCCTCTGCAATGCACAACTACCAGAATACCTGACAGAATTACCTTTAGCTAAAAGGCATTCTCATTTTCCTCAGGTTTTTTTTTGCTTTCCGATAAATTCAGCTTTGCTGCCATCTTGTGTTGAATATTTTCCTCCTCACCATGTCTCTGTATTCATTTGGTATGGTGTAAAGTTGTTTTCTTTAAGCATTGAAGCTGACATTTTAACAGTTTATACTACCTTTGCCAGAAATGCCCTTTAAACTGGTCTTTAAACTTCAGGCCTAAGCTGACCTACTGAATCTTTTTCCCACTAATTCCTTTATTGTAATTTTGTTGTCCTCTAAAATTATGCCCTTGCTGCACTTCTACCTTGTGCTTATATTCCTCCTGCAGTGCTTCTTTACCTGAAAGGGGTGGTTTTAGCAGCAGGTTACTTACAGTTCAAGTTAATTCATGTACTTTTGACTGAAAAACAGTCAGTGGAAGCTCAGGAGTAGTTATGATGCTCTATCTGAAGGAGCTGTCGTTTGGGACATGGATGAGTAACTGTTTCTTCTCTGTGGGAAGGGGCTTTGCACATCTAGAGCCAGAACAAAGCCTTGGTTATAATTTACTCTTTTACACTTTATTAATAAAAAAGGAAAACTAGTGTTCTTGCTTTTCTTCTATGTAATTCTTTCTAGATCCCTATGTTTACATTATAAACCCTAAAATTATAGAACCCTTTCCATCTGTTTACATAATTGGAGATTTTAAGATAAATTGTTGTATTTGGACCTTCTTCAGAACCACTTGAATAACCCGGAAGACTTCCAGAGCTGGGTCCTTAGCTGAGATAATGATTTCAACTGCACAGATGATCATTTAAAGCTGAGAAAAATTACACAGGCAGTGGAGCCCTTCACTTGACTCTTTTGCCTTCATTGTTTGCTTGATTGTGGGACAAAGTTCAGGACTTGTCTCCTTATAGAGGTCCACAAACAGTGGCTTTTATGCCTAAGTATCTTCTCAGTTCTTCAGGTTCCATGACTGAGTGGGCAGGCATGGGCTTTCACCACCTTTGCCTGAGACCAGGGTTTCATATGATTCTGCAGTACCAGTAAAAACCAAGGGGCAAGTCCTTCTCCCTTCCATGCTTTCATGCTTCTGTTTCTGTCAGCACTAATGGTCTGTTGACCTCAAACCACTTTAACTTACTAATGCAGCAAAACAGCAGGCTTCCCAAGGCAGAGTTCACTGAAGGGCTCAGTGATGGCCATGCTTCGTTTGATGCAGCCCAGGACCCAGTTGACTTTCTGGGCTGCAGGCACACTTTGCTGGCTCATGTTGAGCTTCTGATCAACCAACACCCCTATATCCTTCTCCTTAGGGCTGTTCACAAACCATTCTCTGCCCAACCTGTAATTGTACTTGGAATTGCCCTTATCCAGGTGCAGGATCTTCCACTTGACCTTGTTGAATTTCATGTGGTTTACTCGAGCTCACCTCTCAAGGCTGCCAGGGTCCCTTGGGCTGGGCTCATCCCTTCCCTCCAACATACCACACCTCACAGTTTAGTGTCATTGTCAAACTTGCTAAGGGTGCACTCAATCTCATTGTCCCTGTCACTGACAAAGAGGTCAGTGCACCCTGAGGTGCACCACTTGTCACTGATTTCCACTTGGACATCAAGCCATTAACCACAATTGTCATGCAGGTAAGTGTTAAAGCTGTGAGCTACTAGGTGCAAGTCATCATGTTAGCTCCTCTGCCCAGAGAGATATGTCCTTGATCTCTCATCTCAAGCTGTGGAATTTTGCACACTAAATGGTGTGGAATGTCTTTCGATGCTGGAATGGATGGGGCTCTCAAGTTGCAAAATACTATTTTAGCTATTCTCCTGAAATACATGTGTTACCTTAGTACAGCTGTCTCCTAGTGAGCAATAGGAAAGAGGGAGGCATAACAATTTAACTACATTTCTTCAGGCAGAGATGAGTATAAATTTAAAGAAAATATAAACATAGTAAAAGGTATATTTTTAAGCTGTTCCACTTACAGTAATCTATGCTACTAGTGACACAAAGAAAAGTGCATTTAATATGAATAATGGCATTTTTGTTGCCTGAGTCTAGGCTACTTCAGTAGTCGATGGAGAGAGATAAATGTTTCAATTGGATCTTTCATTCCATTCTGAAAGGGAAGTCTGAAAATGGAAAAAAGAATTACTCACTTGAATACCAGTGGTTTTTTACTAAGTTGGGCAGCCTGGACAGCCAGCTATGTAGCCTAGATTATTAGCTTTTCAATGACTGTAATATACTAAGATAAATCTGTCTGTTTTTACAGCTTTTTTTACTATACATCCAAGTTAATATATCTCTTTTCTTTTCTTGTTTGTGTGTAAGCAAAATTATATATACAAAGAAAACAGTCCATAATGAAAAATTAAATACTTGTTATTTAATAGCAGATGAGAAGAGTTACGGCAATGTCAAAACATTTTTTAAAATTTGGAACAGAGAAAGTTTGAAGGCTTTAAAAACTAATAAGTGGTAGGAATGCATTCATTGGACAGCTAAAATAAATGTTCAGAAAATTTAATTTCACTTTTTACTGCTTAAACATCATTTTAAAGCAACCTTTAAAAATAATTTTCAACTGGATACATACAGACTTCAACTGCTCTGTTGGAGTCAATCGCAGACATACCAAATAGAGTTTGCATTTTGTTCAGAGCAGGAAGGAATAGTCTGGATTTCTTGTATTGTGTTGAGCTGTCCAAAACATACTTTGAGGAGTTTCATTTGTGGAAAATAGGTCATAGCCCAAGCAATTAATATGCAGAAAGTAAAAAAAAAATATTTAAGAAAAAGCTCTTGAGCTCTGAAAGTATGAACCTGGAAAATGTACCCCATCAAGGGCTCCAGCTGAACGAAAGTACTATTACGTGAATGAAATTATTACAGAAATTACTGTTTCATGATGCAAAAGCCTGTTTCAAACCTCTTTCTCTTAAGGTATGGCTATGGATTCCTTGCTTAGCAAAGTTTTGTTATTGCATATAAGGAAAGCGGAAAGTGTTCCAGTAGCTAAGATGCAGAATGTTTTTTGCTTATGTTTTGCCACATTTTTCTGCTGAAAGTCATAGAAAATTAGCTGTCCTTAGCTTTTGCTTTTTAATATTCACCTCAATAGAAAAAGTGTGCAATAGTTACTAAGAACTATTTTTCACTATCACAGGCGATACCTACTCTTATAACTTAGTGTATGTTCTATTCATTTTACATAGCGTTAACAGCACATGTTAAAAATACATAATGCTTCTCAATTTTACCTTTTCAGCTCTTGGCCTTTCTTCAAGGATTATTTACATTTTACCATGAAGGATATGAACTGGCTCAGGAGTTCGCACCATACAAGCAGCAGCTGCAGTTCAATTTGCAGAATGTAAGGATGATTTGTATTTACACCAGTTTGTTCTCTAATTTAATTTCAGGATATTAAAGTAGACTTGTAGCACTTTATTTGAGCTCTAAATCTTGCAATGTTTTAGTAAGCTGAAATAAAAATTAATATATGAATAAACAAAAGTTATTTTTGGTAAGTTAATGTAATGAAGATACCTGTCAACAAATAACTTTGGAAAAATTAATTTTCAGATAGTCAAATTGTGATTTCCAGGTCAAAATGTTGGGAATGAGAACCAGAAAAGCAGCACAGCAGCCAAGTTTCAGTTAGAGAACACAATAGTCCAGATAGATTTAAACATGTGCACTGGACCCTTGTCCCTTCAAATTATAAATTTGCTACTTTTGATTTGCTACTAAGATTCTCTCGAATAAAAGCACAAGAGGTCAGTGTTGTTGCACAGCACACTTTCTGTGAAAGGGTGAAAAATGTACTTAAGTCCAGAGTTTTATTTACATCAGTATAACAAGCTCCAAGAGGAAGATGAACCTACAGCACTGACCAAAACTGACAGTTTGAGTCAGAAGATGTTAGTATTTTCTTTGCTCATATCTTCAGAAACAGAATTATTTAAGGATTTTTTTCAATTTCAGTGTCAATTAAGAAATAGTTAAACTTAATCTCTTCTTAAATATCATAGAAGTAGAACGAGAAGTTGTAAATAGACTGCAGAGGTAGAGAGCAATATAATATTAGGCAGAAGGCACAAGGTACTATGATATTTTTATTCTATTTGTACATGAGATAAATTTATATATGAAGATGTAGTGAGATACAGTACATCATTCACTACTGTGCAAAGGAAGTTTAAATTTTGGCTGCAGACCTAGATTCATAGCTTCCTTTTGCCAGCTGGGCTGTCTACCAACTTGTCACTCAGCATCACCCAAACTCAGACTGAAGTGAAATAATTTCTGTGGGGAAAAACAAATTAAGGACAGTGTTCAGGGAAAATTGTGTTCAGCCTGTCTGTTAGTTGTCAAAAGTACTCCTCTCCATTGCATTGTGTGTTAAGTCTGGAAGAGCAGTTGATCTGAACTGCTGTTTCTGTTCTTAAAATTGTCCTACAAGTTAGAGCAGGAGCAGTAATAGCTGTGGGAGTAGCAGAGTAGTGGCAGATCAACAGCTCTTAGCAGGTCATCATGTCCTTAACCTAACCTTATCCAACCTAACCTAATCTAACCATGACCTATTGTCACTTTCACTGTTTCAGCTGGTATTTGGTCATTGGTATACTTTGTATTTTCATTTGGCTTTGTTTTCTAGAATTTGATTGAAAACTCTGACTGCTTAAAAGTAGTAATTAAAAACTAGATCAAACTAGATAGAGATAAGCTCTCAAAATGTGGACATTTCTCCTTTCAATGGCATGTCCCTCTGGAAGGTATCAATACAATCTCTGTTAAATGTGGTCTGAACTGACACTGCATCCTAAGGATATAATCTGAAAATTTCACACAAGAATTTTACCTCCCTCTCTAATAGTAATTTTTGTCTTCAAAAATAAGGTTTAACATGTATATTATGGTACTACTGTGCAACTCCATGAATTGCCCACAAAAAGGGAAAAGTATGTACCAGTTTATAAAGTCTGAAAGTATCTTTCTGACTAGTCAGGATTAGACTCCATAAGATGACTTTGCAAAAAATATTACAATAATCTTCTTTTCTATTACCTGTAGGAACAAAGTGTTCAACATCTGGTATATTAGTAGCAACCTATCAAACCACTGGCTCCTCAAAATAATTCTCTTCTACTATACTGTGTTAGGTGTGTGAAGGGAAACCCTGTCCTCACTGTATTCTGTAGGAGAAAATGTCTATGCATATATATATTAATAAATATTAATAACCTACCTGTGTACCTAGTTGTTTGCTTGGCCAGATGCCTGGTTATACACATGATATTTAGGACAGACACACTCCTTTCGTGTTTTTGGCACAGTTCTGCCGTTTCTGAAATGTTTCTTAACTAGCCTATTTATGTTATACTTAACTGTGGTGTTTGCATAGTCCTATCAAAAATGTTCATGACATTAACCCAAACTCATGTTTTCAAGTGGTTCAGTGGGACTTAATAATTGAGATTTGGGGCTCTGCTATCAGCAGCTTCTCATTGTCTGCTTAGGTTACTCCTAGGCTTCAGGAGTAATGAGGAGTATTATTCTTTATTGCTTTTCTTTATTTATGTCTCTGGCATATGTTTCCTTTGGTCTCTGATACAGTCTGCCTGGCATAATTAGTTCTTAGTTCTTAATTTTTTTAGTACTTGTATGAGATAATGTGGGTTTTGTTTGTTTCTTTTTCTGGTTGTTAGACCCGGAATAACTTTGAAAGCACTAGGCAGGAAGTGGAGAGACTCATGCAAAGAATGAAATCAGCCAACCAGGATTACAGACCACCAAGTCAATGGACAATGGAAGGCTATCTCTATGTGCAGGAGAAAAGTAAGTAAAACAGATGGACCATTTAATTTTATTTGAAAGACACAACAGCAAAGTTGAGAAAATGGTTTAGTTAGCAGGACAACACAGCAGCTCAGTGTTTGAATATCTACAAACTTCTGCTATGGTTTTCCAAATGATTGAGAGGTTCAAAAGAAAAATAAGTGTTTTAACTTTTCACCAAGCACTCAGAGTAGCTACAATCAGATGGAAGAGTGATCAAAACACTTGTAAGCAACTTAACTCCTGACCTCCGGGTCCTTGTTTGTATGTGCCTGCTATTGGCCACCCTTTTGGCTGGCTGGCAGCAAGCTCTGCCCTGGCTGGCTTCCCTACAGTTTGCTGCAGAAGCTGCAAGCTCCCAGAATGCTGACTTGTTTCTGCCTGCCAAACCTTTCTGTCTCCTATAGTTTTGCTGCCTGAACAGGGCCTATATTCACAAGCAGGATCAACTTTCACCATTTACCAGAGATCTCCACTGACCCATCTGCCTTAAGAGTAAAACACAATGGAAAACAAAGATGTAAGAAGAAAAGTCATCCAAATATAGTCTGTCAGCTTAAAAATAGCTGCAAGCCTATCCTATGTTTCATTCACTACATGAGACATGAGAATGAAGTGTTGAACTAAATGAAGGAATAAAACTAATGTTGTTGTGTCTGAAATGACTTTGAAGAGCTTAGCAACACATCGTGTTAGGAATGAAAACAGAACCAGGAAATAAGTGAAAAGTCATGTGAGATAATTCAAAACTGTACATCACCTGAAATGTCAGCAGCCACTCTTAACCAGTGTAGAAAACTAAGCCAAACTAGCTGCATTAGGCAGGATCATGCAAAACCCTGGGCCTGATTTCTCAATCTAAAAATAAATAGAAGGCATCTGAATATAGAATTCTGGTGTCAGACTTGACCCCAATCGACCTCAGTTTTGAGGATATCTTCCTTATTGCTCCTCTTTTAGATGATAACTCAAGAGTCTACATGGAGTTACAGATAACTGATTTTCTGCATAACATCATTAAATTAATCGTTATTCTGTATGTAAGCTAAAAGAAATAAAGATTAATGATCATCATAGTTAACCTCAGCCACTTTTACCCTCAGCAGCACTGAAAGTTTTAAGAAAACTGTCTATTTTTTAATTGTGTAATAATAAAAGAAACCTGTGTGAAGTGGAAATTACACTGAGCCCTGCTAATGGGGGTGGGAGAAAAGGAGTGAAGCATTGGGCACATGCTGTGCTTCATTAAACAGTGAGAGGACAACTTGACATCGTCTCACTGAAAAGAAGTTCGTTCATTAGTTTATTCTGGAGTAAGAGTAGCAAGATCAGTAATCTCTGTGTCAGTGGGGAAGGTACTAGTTGTGTATTTCCTTGTCCTGCAGTGTTACTTTCCAATAATCATCATCCCATAGGCTCATGTAAATTTTTTGACAACTGAGTTAAATACTAGCTATTTTTGAGAGTAAAACTAAATACTAAAAAGTATGTATTTATTAGTGCTATGCATGGTGGTGAATATTTCTATTTTTTTTAAATGGCAGTAGACTATGAATTCTTTTTGGATGGTCTTGAGTAACTTGAAATTCCAGTGTAGGTTTCTAGCTACAATTTTTACTGAAAAACAGGTTGCTCCTTAAACTCATCCAAAACTGCTTTGATAATTCTTATCCTTCTTACATAGGCTAAAAAAGTTAATGAAATGGCATCTAATGAAAAATTGCTTTAGCATTATTATAGATATTGTTTTGTTAAGTGAAACTAAGTAACAAGAGGAGCTGAACAGCAAACTTCTGAGACTCATTACCCAGCTGACTTGTTAATTCATGACATTACTTTCCTGCATAACATAGGCATTGGGAGAACTTTCTCCAATTCAGCATTACAGACTATGTGAATTTCCTCAGCTACATTTGTGGATTGCCAGACATCTGACTTATATGACCAATGCAGTCTCTTGTACATCCACAACCTTTGTAGAAGGCTACATTTGGAGGGCAAAGTCATTGTATGTATAGGAAAACTACTAGGTTTGGTTTTAACAGCTTCAGTTTTTATTTACCTGTTTAATTTATTTTTTTTTAAAAAAAGAACACAAATCCATTAAAACACTTTTTTTAAACTCAGAGCTCTTTCATTTTAAAATGAATTAAAAGGTCCAGATGCACTGTACTTTGAAAAATCAGTATAATATTTATCTCATTAGAAATCCCATGGAAATGAATTGGAAAATCACATATCCATTGAAAATGTAATCTAATCCTTTCCAATTCTGACTTTACACAGTATTTACAATACACCATTAGATATATATGTGTTTTATTTTGGAACCTGCATTTGTAATGGCTCTGCAGGGAAGGACCATGTTCGAATGCCAGGATCTGAAGAATAATGCTGTCCAAAAGAAAAAAAAGACTTCCTTCTCAGTATCTCTTCACACATAACTACTGTGTTTGGTCTCTGTGACTGAGTAACGAGAAGCTGTGTCAATGATAGTACAAAAAATGGGTCTATACTCTGCCACTGAGATCAACTTGCCCAGAACATCCCACCCTCTATGCTAAATTTCCTATTCTCAAAAATCCAGAAGCTTTGTCCAAGTTCCCTGTTGACTGTGTGTTACCTATTGATTGTGAATGCTGCCAACGCTGTTTTATTAACCAGTGCAGTTATAGCCATAGTGTTCTGGCTCAAGGGGGAGCAGTCACACGGCAAAACCTGAGTTATCCTGTCCACTGTGGCACACTAGCCCTCCAGATTTATCTGTAAGAAACTCGGGAGCTTATCTTCTTCTCTGTGCTACAGTAAACAAATTTATTTTTTTTTTCCTCAGAAAAATTGTGGGACATCTTGGCTGTACTTCTAGGTTGAGAGAATTATGGAAATGGTGGGAGGATTTACTCCATGTCCTCACAGCAAAGAAAACGTAATGAATACCTGTATCTAAGCTAGGTTAGTGGCCAGACTTTAAAATACCATTGAACTTAAGCTCAAGCGGGTTTTGTGTTTAGATTAGTGAATAAAGTTTCACAGCAGTGCCTCAGCAAAGCTCTGGGTAATCAAGGAGGAAAAAACATCTCATCATCTGCATCAGAAATCCTAGACTTTCAGTAGGTTAAAGAAGTAGTGCAGTGTGAGCTCTCTGTGATAAAGCATACATACATCCCTTGGGAATCCCTGTACATTGCATGTATGGCTGTTTGACTCAAAGACTAATAAATCCCTAAGTACATTATACTTTGGTCTTGTGAGTGTGTGCAGTTGTCAGTCTGGGGCCACGTCAGTTGTGCACCACTGTTACAGCCACCTCTTCCCCAGCAGGAGCCCTTCCAAGGCATAAAAGGCCAATGTTTCTGACTGAAGGCACCATCTCAGCTGTCCGGCATTTTACCCTTCATGTCTAAACCACTGTTGTTTTAGAGTCCACTCTTCCTTTCCTTCCTTTCCTTTTCCATAATGAAGTTACTCTCCAGTGTTCAACTGTCTTAGATTGAATCTGTCTCTGAGCCAGTGCCATTTTACCCACTCCCTTAAGGAAACAGGTGGAAGAATATTGTTCCAGTGATACTACAAAAAGCATTTGTTACCTGGTCAAAACCAAAAATCTGAAAGCACTCTGACTTAATTACTTTGTCCAATTTTTGGATCTAATACCAGACTTAAAAGTTTCCCTCAGAGAAGGGGTGTCATACAGAATCCTAGTGCTTCACTGGAGTTGATAAAAATATTCAGTCTTCAGATAAAATCTTTCCTAGGCAGAAAAATCCTCAGGATCCTGCCTGTCTCTTGCCTATTTAACCTGGCAAAATTCTGTCACCCATCCAGTTGCCAAAGAATATCGGTCTGCTGGAATTTTGTTGGGCAACCTCATCAAGCTGCGATATTTGAAAATTATACCTGAGCAACATGTTCACATTAAAAAATTAAGGGAGATTTTTGTTTTCTAGGCTCCATGTGGATGCTTTTATGTTTCATTTCTCTACTCTATCCAACTCCAACTAAAATAGCAATAAAATGCTGAAATAATTATTTCTAATATCATCTCTCTTTAATCTAGGACCTCTTGGATTTACATGGGTGAAACACTACTGCACTTACGATAAAGGAACAAAAACATTTACAATGAGTATAGCTGAAACAAAATCTGGCGGAAAAGTGGTGAGTTGCACATGAATTAATGCATGCATGAATTGTATATTCTGTCTTTTATATAAGTCATTTTGGAGCTGTTAAAAGAAAAAAAAAAAGTAAACAAACCAGGAGGGTGTTTTCATATATGAAATGCATGCCATATAGAATAGATACATATTAACATAAAAATATTTCTTGTAACAGATATATAAACTACATATTTAATAAATTCCCTAATATGATGGTTGCAAATGCATAGGAAATCAATCACATTTGAAAAGAATCGTAGAATGGAAGAGGTTTGGAAAGGAGCTCTGGAAATTGACTAGTTTAATCTCCATACTCTATGCAAGGTTGACCAGATCAGGTCAGTGAGGCCTGTGTCTAATCAGGTTTTAGACACCTCCAAGGTTGGAGACCCCATAACCTCTGTGGACAACCAGTTTCAGTCTTTGACTCCCATAAAAAAGCTTTTTCTCAAGTTCATATAAAATTACCTGTATTTCAATTTGTGCCCATTTCTTATTGCCCTGTCACTGGGTACCACTGAGAAGAATCTGACTTGGTTCTTTTTACTGTTTTCCATGTATTTATAGATAAATCACTGATATGATTCCCCTTCTTCAGGCTGAACAGGCCCAGCTCTCTCAGCCTTTCCTTGTATGATAGATGCTCCAAGTCCTTAATCACTTTGCTAGCCCTTAGCTGGACTTGCACTTAGTTAGACATCACTGTCTCCTGTGATGGTGACCCCAGTGCTGGAGACAGAAGTCCAGATGTGTCTCACCAGTGCTGAACAGAGGGGAAGGATCATCTCCCTTCATGTGCTGCCAATGTTCTTGCCTCATGGAGCCCAGGAGTTTGTTGGGCTTCTTTGCTGCAAGAGCACATTTCTGGCTCGTAGTCAACTTGTTGCCCATGAGGACCTGCACATCCTTTTCTGCCAAGCCATTTTCCATCCCTTCAGTCCCAACCTGTCCTGGTACCTGGGTTTATGCCTGTTCATGGTTAGCAATGCCGACCCCAGTGTTGCTACCCTTTGGACACTAGTAGTGACTGGCTGCAGCTGGACTTCTGCCGTGAGCTCAGCAGTCTGGCCAGCTTTCAGTCCACCTCTCCATCTACTTAACTAGCCTGTACTTCACCAGTTTGGGTATGAGGATGTGGTATGGAACATCCTACTACAGTAGGATATGTCAAAAGCCTGGCTCAAGTAAAGATAAATGTTTTTTTTGTTCTTCCATCATCCACTGAACATTGTAAAAGGCTATCAAGTTGCTCCTGCATGATTTCCCCTTCTTTAAATCCATACTTCCATTACTTCCAGTCACCTTTCTGTCTTTCTGTATGTCTAGAAAAGCTTTCCACTTCATCATCGTCCCATGGATCAAGGTGATGGAGACTAGCCTCTAGTTCCCCACAGGATGAGAGGAAATGACCCCAAGTTTTGCCAGGGGAGGTTTATACTATACTATAAAGTACTGGAACAGGCTGCCCAGGGAAGTGGTTGAGTCACTATCCCTGAAGTTCTTTAAAAGACACGTAGTTGTGGCACTTGGGGACATAGTTTAGTGGCGCACTTGGCAGTGTCAGGTTTATGGTTGGACTGGAGGATCTTAAAAGGTCTTTTCCAACCTAAATTATTATATACTTTATCCTTCTTCCTGCTCTTCTTGAATGTAGGCAGAAGTGACATTTGTTTACTCGCATTCATCAGAAGCTCCTCTTATTTTGTTACCCTTTCCAACCTTATATAGAGTGGCCTCACAATGGTGGTAGCCAGAACTAGGGGTTGGTAGCTTTATTCTATTTTCTACATGTCAGAGTTGACAGAGTTATATAGTATTAATTCTAACATGTGACAGACAATAATTTTATGTATGCAGATGTTTGTAAAGTTTTGAATTCAGGGAGTGTTCTGAAATGTAATTATTAGATAACAAATATGTGACAGAAAGCTATCAACTGTAGTCTTGCTTTACATACAGAGATTCTGTTGTATATGTTCTGAAATAATGTTAATCCCTATCTTAAGGCATATTCTTTGGACTGTTTCTACAGTTATATTTAATATGTGATGTCAAGGTATATTAGCATACTGCATGTGTTAATTTTACATTGTTTTCTTTTATAGAATGGCCTTGTTACAAGCTCGCCAGAAATATTCAAGCTAAAATCTTGCATCAGAAGAAAGACAGATTCAATTGACAAACGTTTCTGTTTTGATATTGAAGTATTTGAGAGGTTTGATTTTTTTTTTCGTTGTTTAACAAATTGAAAATAGTCGAAAATAGAATCACTTGCAATATGTAATAATTGATCCTGTAACAGGGACACGTATTTCTCAATATGCTTTCATCCAGACAAACTATGCATCCAAGACTTACTAGTTTTTTGTTCAAGCTTCTTTTTCTACCAAAATTTACTACCTTGTATTATGTGTTGTCTAAATTACATTGTGTTTGCATGCAGATACAAGATGGATTCATGTAGCAGAACTGACTTCCCTCTTTTAGGAATAGATCATAAATATTTTTAGAAATACTTACTAATAGCATATTCTGTACCAATCTATATATCTTTAAAAAAACGTATGATAACACATCATTTTTTTTAAAATTACTTCTACCATTTTTTGTTTCACTTATTCCGGGATATTATAGAAATAGGCAAAAACAGCTTTTCTGTATTTGAAGTATATATACACAATACTTTAAAAGAAGAGTATTTGTTCCATGTTTGGAAAAACAGATAAAGATTTACATTATTTTCTCCCTTGAAATATGATAAACAGACGGATTTTTGTAGTCATTCTCTTTAAAATACTTTAGGATTCTTGCTGCCATTTTACATTCCATTCAGAACGACCGTATTTACATTATAACTTTGAGGCTACTTTGGTGCTTTCAGTTATTTTCTAAAATAGACTTTTGAGTGAGTTCAGGTTTAAGAAACAGAAATGTGGTATGAACAAATGTTGGGACTAATTGATTTTTTGAAAGCCCTTAAGCTTGAATTGTCAGGTTGAGTTTGAAATTGGTAGTTGTTTCTTTACAAGTAGAATTGTATTTATTAGACACATCTGTTGCAGTACCACTGTAACATGTTCCCAAGTGAGTGCTGTCCCTTCTCTCTTACTCTGCTAGAACATCCGCAGTTCAACAAAACTGCACAGAACAACTAGTTCCATCTGCAGTTCTTCAAGTTCTCATCAGAGAGGCATTTTTTACATATTATTTTATTCCTTTGAGACATTTTGATAGATTACAAATGTGCATTGCCTGTAAATTAAAGACATTCTGAAAACTCAGATGATCGAAAGGGAAGTAGAGTATAAAGTTATTTGGTCATTTCATGGGTGCATAGAAGGTTCATTTTTCCAATTGATTTGGTATGCAGCAGGGAAGCAGTGAATTTTTGTTCAAGTCAGCTGAAGAGATAAATTGACAAGAAATACCTAGAAATATTTGGTGGCCGTTCATATACAAGGGCAACATTAATCTTTTCTGAATGTCATGTTAAGAGAGAGAAGATGCAGTAGTCTTTACTGATGTCAGTAATGACTAGGAATATGAGCAAGTTCATGTAAATATAAACATGGTGCTGGAACACACAGGATTCAAAAGACTGTGATAATGATTACACTTGAAATAATTTTTAATTCAGGACTTAATATTGTTTACTTGGAGTATAATGTTGAACATCACCTGCCAAGTATAGAAAACTTTGAACGTAATTGACATTAGTAAAAGATGTTTCCTTAGTAATGTGAGGGTATAACTTGTAATCACAAAAGAACTCTTTCTTAAAAATGTACAGCTACACCAGTCTTCAAAATTCTGTTGCAAGATTTCATGGGTAACTTCTGTTTCCAATCACCTTATCCCACAGAGCTAATTCTCTCCTTGCCTTATTGTATGAAAATTGTATGAAATGTTACATGTAGTAATATTTTATTCAAACATTAGAAACCCATGCAGACTGATACGCACATCTCATTTCATGAAAGAGCCATATTAACTGAAAGAAACCCTTGTGAACAACTAATAGAGAACACACACTGCCAGCCCATCTAATTGACATCATTAATTTAAAATTTGCTTAGGTGTTTTTCACACCTAGATTAAGTTCAGACTTCCTGTAAAAATTATGCTGCAGGTAGTACTATCTTGTATGTACTGGAACTATATAAAAAGGTAACATCAAAGATTGTTTTTTACCTTGAATGTAATTTTAATTTCTGAGAAATTACCAACTATTTCATTAGTTCAAACATGGTAGAGCTGGCGTGGGCTTTTTTTTTTCCTTTTTTTTAGGAAACTGCTAATATTTTGGGATTATACCCTTAGATATTTCAGTGTTAAAACATGCTATACAGTGACTGCAGACTTCACCAACCAATTAAATCAGAAACTAAAGCTAAAGGCAGGTATCACCAATCTTGAACTAAAATGTCACTCACGACATTTCTGTTCTTTCTGTATGTGCTGACCCAGGCACTATGAGTACAAAACCAATTTCCCAAATTAAATATTAAGCAGTAGTCAATGTGTTTTATATCTCCATACTTGAGATATTATCTCAAAGAACTCTTTTGAGGCAAGTGTTTTAGGGCACATTTCTTTTTGCCAGCTTTGGATACCTATTTTGTATGAAGACTTTTAGAAAAGTACCTCTTTCTTTACATTTGCTATGAAAGCAAAACAGATAATCATCTCAGGCATAGACATATTTACTAAGGTTGAACTAATGTATCTTGCGCTTAAGTTTTCCAACCTAAACATCCCCCTGCTGAAAAATGGGATCCTGTTTGCAGGTGTATAACTCATCTTGCAATATGGAGGTGCCTAATATCTATTAGAGGGTTGTAGCACTTATTGCTAGGCATCTAAAACTGTGTGTTGCATTACCAAACTTTTTTAAAAATAGACCTGGTTTTGAATCTAGCCCATAGTTACTATGTTAGGTCAGAAGTAATCAGCTTTCTTTAGCTTCTCTCTGTCTTTAGTGTCTTCACTTCATGTCATTATGCTTTTGGATTCTGCCTTTGGATGTTGTTTGAGAAAAATAAATTGATAACCAGTGTATGTGCATGTTTTTGACAGACCTGGAATCATCACACTACAAGCTTTTTCAGAATCCAACCGAAAACTTTGGCTGGAAGCTATGGATGGAAAGGAACCAGTAAGGATAGTTTTTAATTTTCTTTCCTTTTTACAGTTTTATGGGACACGTCTTAAAGAAAGAAGCTATTATGCATTTCAGATACTGTGTTACAGTAGAGGCAAATAAAGTCCTATTTTTTGTGAGGTATATTGTGTATACACAGTGAAGATAGGTACAAAGTAGAAAGCAGAACTAGTAGTGAATTTAAGCCTTCATTTATCTATTACTGTTTCATCACCTAGGATATTTAATGTTTAAGTAATAAGATAGCGTATTGTCTAATAGGATTCATGGTTCAAATGACATTTGTAAAGTGTTAGTTTCTGCAGTGATAAAGACAAACTGTCTTTTGGGCTGTGTCATGGAGTAAACAATTAGCACCATCTTGAAAAGGCACTGCAGAGGGCATAAAAATGTGTTGAAAGCTACTAAGAGACAGGCTTGTCTGAGCTGTCTTCCCACTATTACTCTGTTCTTAGAATAGTCACTGAATGAGGATAATCCAGACCTGTGTCCAAGGGGGAAAAAATGGTTGATCAGTTTTAGAGAAAGAGAACTGTTTTCACAAGCTTCTTGCTTGACTGAAACAGTACAGAAATTAAATCAGTAGTTGCATTGAAATTTAAGCCATTTGGAGACAGCAAATCTGACTTCTAACTCATTTTAGGTGCCTATACATTCAATGCTAATAAATTTTTAGTCAATCTAGAATCTCAAGGCTGACCTGAATAGGCACATCCCACTGGCCTTCTGCCTTCTCCCCAGAGGTGAAGATGATCAGATGAGTAAAACTGTGAACACAACAAAAACAGTGGATTGTTACCCTCTCCAACTGCCCATATCCTAGCACAGGGCTGATAACCTGGGTGAGTGCTCAGGGGTAAATGTCAAGAGCAGGTGGAAGGCAAGGTTGCCTTTCTCCTAGCAGCAAGCTAATACACAGCATGTTGCTGCTAGCTTAAGAAATACCAACAAACCTGGTGATAAAGAATTTAAAGCACAAACATTGATCTGTTATCATTTTGGATTTTTTACAGATCTACACGTTGCCAGCCATTATTAGCAAGAAGGAAGAAAGTAAGTTATTTATTTACATAGAGTTACCAAATATTGCCAGATTTCTGTAATGTCGTGGTTTCTAGATATGTGTCTGAGAGCGAGATTAATTATTATATGTTTTTCTTCTATTGCAATGAAATAAATGTTTGCTGGACTACATGATTGGGTTACAGGAAGCATATCCTAAGCTCTGCAAACTGAGAAAGTCTTAAAAAAATTATTGGCTCCAAAACTACAATATATTTAACAAATCTGTAAGAAGTCTCCATCAGTAGTCTGTATATCTAAATATAATACATGCCACTGTGTTGAAATAATATCCCTATATAGGATCATAGAATCATTTAGGTTGAAAAAGACTTGTAAGATCATTGAGTCCAACTATAAACCTAACATTGTCAAGTCCTGCTAAACCACATCCCTAAGTGCCACATCTACATGTCTTTTAAAGACCTCCAAGGAGCATAACTGAGCCACTTTGCCGCAGCCTGTTCCAATGCTTGATAATCCTTTCAGTGAAGTAATTTTTCCTGGTATCCAGTCTAAACCTCCTCTGACAAAACTTGGGGCCATTTCCTCTAGTCTTATCACTTGTTACTTAGAAGAGGAGACCAACACCCCCTGCGCTCCAACCTCCTTTCAGGTAGTTGTAGAGAGTGGTGAGGTCTCCCTTCAGCCTCCTTTTCTCCAGGCTAGACATCCCCAGTTCCCTTAGATGTTCATCATAAGGCTTGTTCTCCAGACCCTTCACAAGCTTCATTGCCCTTCTCTGGACATGCTCCAACACCTCAATGTCTTCCTTGTAGTGAGGGGTCTAGACTGAACAAAACACCCAAGGTGCAGCCTCACCAATGCCAAGTACAGGGGGAGAATTACATCCCCCCTCCTGCTGGCCACACTGTTCCTGAGACAAGCTAGGATGCCATTGGCCTTTTTGGCCTCCTGGGCACACTGCTGGCTCATGTTCAACTAGCTGTCAGACAACACCCCCAGATCCTCTTCCTCTGGGCAGCTCTCCAGGAACTCTTCCCGAAGCCCGTATCTTTGCATGGGGTTATGACCCAAGTGCAAGTCTTGATACTTGGCCTTTTTGAATCTCTTACAACTGGCCTTAGCTCATGACATCTTTTTGATTTTAGGTTTATATGCAGCAATTACACATACACTGACTAATAAAATGAGTATATCTAAAGATACTGTAAGATTTATGTCTGTAATTGTATTAACATTATTATTAACACATACAGGTTATTGACATTATATTAAGACAAATACATTAAAAGAGTTTAGCTATAAATGTGGGTGTATGTATCTTGGGGAGAGAGAGATGTGTCTCAGATATGGACATATATCTTCACAGGAGGTATATCTGAATCTGGAAATAAAAAATTTAAGCCGCTACATCAGTTTTTTATATGATGGTGTTTATTTTCATGCTGACAAATATGCAGCTTTAAGATCTTCTTTATTTAGCTAATTAGAGCAGTGAGCACTGAAGATACAAAAATTAATGAGAACCATTCACTTGAAATAAGCGTGACAATTAAAATTAATAGCAAAGATTGTTTTTTACCATTTTATGAGCAGTTATGTGCATATGCAAGGAATAAAGAATGTTGTACTAAAACCAATAATTATATTCTGTTCATGATGTAGGTGTGAACTCTTAAAAGCATTTTCCTTAGCAGAGGGAAAGGAGTAAAGAAATCTTCTTTTAAAACAAAAGCTTTCAGCTCTGTGTTTAGGGAGCTACTGATTTCTGGGAAAGACAGTAGAATATTCTGCTCCTAGTGATACACTAATGATTAGAAGACTGGATTTTGAGTTCTAAGGATATATCTACAAAAATACTATTAGGGAATAAGTATCAAAATCTCATGGATAGATGTGTACCTTCTTGACTAACATGTGAATGTAGCTAAACATGGAAATTTTGTGTATTGACAAGTTAGAAAATAATTAACATTTTTTCTTTCTTTTATAGTGTTCTTAAATGAAGCAGGTTTCAACTTTGTGAGGAAATGTATTCATGCTGTAGAAACAAGAGGTGTGTATTAAGTCACAAATTATGTATTAAATTATTATGAGTGTTTTTTCTCAAATATTACTTTGATCAATTCTACATGTTTTACAGCTGTGCTTTGGCTTGTGTGCATTCTTTTCTTTATACTTTTAATATACTATTTGTGTGTTTTAAACTTAAAACTGTTGCCACAAGTTCTGACAACAGTTCTTAATATATCATTTAAGTGGGTTTTTTAAAACATTTTCTATAATTTTATGTTGTTTAGACAGCTTAATACACAGTGGCAAACATCTTCAGCCTGTATGCACCAATTTGTGCTTTCTCCTGGTAAAACTGTAGGGAGCCTCAGCTCCTAGCTCTCATTTCTGGTGTGAAATCTGAAGATCAAAAGTGGCATGAGTACTCTCTGTTGTAACATTGTTTTTGCACAGCATAACTCCTATAATTTTATCCACTTATTTTACATATGGTTTTGGAAATGTTTAGAAACCCTTTTTTGTGTAGAAAGAAAATAATAATCACTCTGATAATAAGGTGATATCATGCAACTCACAGCAAGTTTTTATTTGTCTCCTTTCAAATGAAGAGGTATGGCTGTATCATCTGCCATAAAAAGAGGTAACCTTTCCATTTCCATGCACTAAACTGCCAGAGTGCAACCAACTCTGTTCTAACTCAAAATCTGTATGGTCTCTCTGTGCAACATTGAGCTCAACATGAATTCAGTTTCTCAGGTGACAGTGTTATGTAGGTTTTGAGTCACTGCAGACTCAGAGCTTGCTGGTTTTTGGCAGGGGGAGGGAGTAAAGATGGAGGCTTCAAAGCAAAGCAGCTAGATTGTCTCTAAGTGAGATCATATTTTGAATGTTATTTTCAAAGGAAAAGTGGACAATTTTTAAATGGTAAGACCTGAAGTGGAGAGAAGGGGAGACTTTTAACTCCTGCTCATTTTAAAAGGCAGTTAAAAACTGTAAAATTATTGTAACTGGAATCCTGAAATACCGCATTGTGAATGTCACACTTCGGAATTTATTTGTTATTAGTATCCATGCTTTTATAAAAAACAAACTGTCACAGAGCAGCAGGGCCCAGAAGGGACCTCTGGAGATCATCTAGTCCAACCCCCCTGCTAAATAAAGCATGTTCACCTAGATCAGATTGCACAGGATTCAGCTGAAACTTATGGGTAAATTGGGACTTCTGTGTGCCTGTTTTGCACAGGGATCCATGCATAACGTACACATTCTCAACTGCAGTGTTGCAGCAGTATGTGTTTTTATTTTGTGTACAATCATAATTTTTCCCCTAAATGTCAATCAGATATTAATTGGAAGAGGTGATGGTCTAAGCAAAAATAGATGCGTTGTAATTCCACTGAAGTCTAGTGAAGAAAAATGTGTTGACATGAAACATGTTCTAAAACTGCTTTCAAGTCTCATTTTTCACTTTACTTAGCCATCTTCCTGTTGTTTGCTCACATGGGTGATTTCTATGCAAAAGGGTTCAGTTGTACACTACGGTGTGGATTCAGTGGAATGCATTTGTTGACATTCCAGAAGATAATTCAATAGGGTAAAGCAGTACTTAATAATGTCATTGTACAATTTTCCATAAATACATTAAGATGTTTTGAAAACATACCCTTAGCATGCAGCAGCATATATTGATATGAATATATTTTCACTATTTTCATTGTACTTGTTTTCCCAATATAGGAATTACAATCCTGGGACTGTACAGAATAGGTGGTGTAAACTCCAAGGTGCAAAAGCTGATGAATACTGTATTTTGTAAGTACCTGAAGTGAACCTTTGTCAGTGTGCAGCATGTGTGCTGTGGTCCCTTTTGCCTTAAATGCTATGCTCAGAAGAGTGTATCATAATATTGACAATTTTGTATGTGCATTCACTGCCCCTAAATTGAGTTTGCAGTCTTAAAATGAGTGATCCATCTAACTAGATCCTTGTGTGTATTAATATTCAATTTATGCATTCAGTCATTGATATACATGAGCAAAGTCCTGATAAAATTTCTTCTTTGAGCTTTAAAGCTCTGTTGGTATTTATTTAGTGTATTTCAGAAGTGTTCCAAGGCTTAGTTCTGTAACACAGCATAGCTAAGTTAAATAGACAATTGTTCTAGTCTGTCACTTTTCTTGCTAATTTGGTTCTCTGATGCCTGTATATGAATGTCTAAGCCAAATATATTCATAATTCCAGGCAGACTTCGGCTTACTTTTTACTTTGATACAGTGTGTATCGTTAATTCTTACATGTACTAAACATGAGTGCTAAATTCTTTTTTTTTAATGCTTTGGCAGAGATTAAAAGTTTCAAATAGATCACATTGGTAGTTAATGTCTGATAGGTAATCACATCAACTAAATGACCAATCTATTATCTTCCCATTTGCTTTTCTAGTTAGTGTGTTAGTCAGACTATAATAAAATTATAATTCAAATTTCTACCAGCCCCTAAATCTCCTCCTGATATGGATATTGATATGGAACTTTGGGACAATAAAACAATAACAAGTGGACTAAAAAACTACCTCAGGTAAGTCTGGTCCTACACAGATCTCAATATTCTTTTTCTGGCCCATTAATCTTTTGCTTATTAATATCATATTACATTTCTTGTATCCATTAATGTGGTAATAATTGAGTATATTATTATCTTGCTTAATATCCCTGTGAATATCTGTAATAATAAATCTAAAATGGGTCACACACTTTCTGCCTTATTAAGATAGTCATGCCTTCTATATATAGATCTAAATTCACCCGAATTTAAGTAATTGCATGTTTTTATTTAAAATCTTTTCCCTTAAACCACAAAGCATGTTGTGTTCAGTCTGTCTTTTCTGAATACCTCTAAGCTTTGCACCATGACGTTTCATGGCATCATTGTTGGAGCAGAATTAAAATCTCTGAAAAACCATAGTTTTTTATCCTGGGCTCCTGGTGTCTTCACAAACACAATATCCCTTCCAGGGTATCATTTTCTCTTAATTTTTTTTCTAATAAGAGACAGAATTTTGAAAAATTATGAGACTTGCGAGATAACTCTTTTTTGGGTCTAAGTATATTAACAGTCAAAAGAAACATTTAAAAAAAAAGCTTTAAACCCAAATGATGGTTGTTCGATGCTTGCTAAAAATCTAGATTTCCTTAACTAGTCACCTAACAAAAGGCACAATCAGACATCCCTACTCACTCTCAAAAATATGCCTAGGACTTAGAGTGTGATGCTCAGGTGAATTTCATTGAAAATATTGGCTTTGGTCATAGAATCACAGATTCATAGAATGCCAGGTTGCAAGGGAGCTCAAGGATCATCTGATGCAACCTTTTTAGGTGTTACTATACTTTATATGAGATGGCTCAGCACCCTGTCAAGCTGAGACTTAATGCTATCCAATGCAAGAGAATCCACCACTTCCCTTGGGAGACTATTCCAATGCAGCCCAGCATCCTGTTGGCTTTCTTTGCTACTGTTCACTCCTGTTGAGCCTGTTACCCACCAAGACCCCCAGGTCCCTTTCCACAGGGCTGCTCTCCAGCCAGGTGGATCCCAGTCTGAACTGCACACCTGGGTTATGTGTTCCCAGGTGCAAGCCCTTACACTCCCCCCACTGAACTTCATTAGGTTCCTGCTAGCCCACTCATCCAGCCTGTCTAGGTCATCCTTGGAGGGTGTCTCTCTCTTCTGGAGTGTCAGCCTCTCCACTCTTCTTGGTATTGTCAGCAAACTTCATCAGGGTGGTCTTGATCGCAACATCCAGGTCACTTACGAAGGTGTTAAAAAGCCTTGTGGCCAATATGGATCCCTGGGGGACCCCACTTGTGACTGGTTGCCAGTTTGAGGAGGAACTATTTACCATACACTCTGGGTATGGACTGTCAGCCAGTTCCCCACCCACCACACAGACCATTTGTCAAGGCTGTAATGAGTCAGTTTCTCCTGGATGGGACTGTGGGGACCATATCAAAAGCCTTGGAGAAGTCCAGGTAGGTGATGTCCACTGCTCACCCTGTATCAAACTAGTGGGTTACTTTGTCATAGGAAGTGATCAGGTTTGTCAAGCACAATTCGCCCCTGGTTAATCCATGTTGGGGACGTGCTTCAGTTGTGACAGTCCCCAGGAGGATTTGCTCCATGACTTTCCCAGTGACTGAAGTGAGGCTAATGGGTCTATGTGGGAAACTGTTCTTCCCCACATAAGTCTAATTACTACCACAATTACCGTAGCTGGTTGAAGAGATTTATAACACATCTTCAAAAGCACAAATATTGAAAATACTGTATTTGTGAAATTAGCACGTCATGTAACAGTAACTGTGTGTTTGTGTCTGTAAGGCAATTCACAGTCTGCCTTTCAGAGGATGCTTCTTGTAGAATTTATCAGATCAGAATTTTAATCCCGGATTTCATTGTGTTTTCATCATTGGGCAAAAGGTTGCTTCTTCAGCCCACTGTCCCATGTTCTGCAGCTGCATTTATTCCTGTTCTACAGTATGGAAGCCAGAAAACAGTGAGTCTCTGTGCTCAGGTCAGTGCCAGTAGTATTTCCCTTACTAACCTACATGGTGATACCAGCTTCAACTCAAGGAAGATTTTTAGGCTACATATATGATTGAGTTGTATACTACTTGCACTGATCATTGAATAAGGTTTCCTACAACATACCAATATATATTATGCAGATGTTGAGTGCGATCATAATCACACCCATCAAACTTAAAAATATTTTCAGTAATGCGTTTGTTTAAATTTTCTTTTTAATATTGTTTACAACCAGGTGTCTTTCAGAACCACTGATGACTTTCAAGCTGCACAAAGATTTCATTGTTGCTGTCAGTAAGTAAAGGAATAAATACACTTTCATTAAACTAATACTATTTTAAACCCTTAATCTCTTCCATTATTATCCTTTTTTTCTCCTTGGTCTATTAGTCAGTAATCCAGCCATGGATCCGAGTTCTTCCATGTGACAGTATATGACAGCTCAGTGCCATATGAAAGCCCTCAAAATACAGAAGTCACAGTAGATGAAGCTGTTCAGTGGTTGCTTCTGACCTTTTTAGAGGTTCTGTGGGACTGCCCTCTGCATTAAATTTTAAGCCTTGATTTATGCTTGTTTGTTTGTTTTATATGGGTGGGTAAATCTTTGATAGCATTCATTTTTCTCATCCAAGGACCTTTATTTTCCATGCTTGCCTTGAGAAATTGGAGAGGGTGATAATTATCTCCTTTTCACAAATGGAGTAATTAGATACAGAGATAGTAAGTCTTTTCTAATTATTCCAGGTTAGAATTTGAAGCTATTTCCCTGTTTCCTCTTGCCTTGATAAGAATAAAAGACACTCGAGAATTTTAGATACTTTAAAAACAAAGAGGTAAAATCCTGGATTTCACTGAAGTGGCACATTGGGTCAGAATTGTCTCAAATTTTGTTGTTTCTGGTATCGGTGGTAACTGCTTACAGCAAGTTACTTGAAATACAGATTTCAGAATCTTGTAATAAATATAAACAAATTGTCCTTATCATATTAAAGGTTAATTGTGTTTGGCTCCTTGCAATGCATGCGTGTATTAACATATAGGCACTGGTGCTATCTATAGTCAAATGTTAATATGTGTTTTCTGTTTTATAGAGTCAGATGATCAGAACTACAGAGTTGAGGCAGTGCATGCACTTGTGCATAAGTTACCAGAGAAGAACAGAGAGATGCTGGACATCCTTATCAAGCACTTGGTCAAGTAATTATTTTTTATTTTTCTCTTTGGCATTATTGTAAGATGTAATTGTTTCTGCTTTAAATTTGTCAGTGTTGCTTAATCCATTCTCTGTGTTGAAACAATGCCACTTGAAATTACATTGACTTTCTAAAATGCTGTTCTCAACATAGCTGAAGAATACTCACCTTAGAAACAAAATAAAAAATAACACCATAAAGAGTCACCAAGATGACCAACTATGTTTATAAAATAAACTCACTCAATGTTTTCCTTCACATTGTTACTTACTACAGAAATTGGCACTAATTAAATTTAAGAAATGTCTAGAACTATGCTCAGCTTGGTAGGAAATGCTCTTTTTAATCTGACTCGAAGTCCCACACTTTTTCAAAAATGGAGAGTAGACTAATGTGATAATAATTGTCCATGTTTGATCTTACTTTTCTCTCTAAAAGCTCTGAAGTGTAGCATCCTTTGAAAACATGAATTTGAAGTATTATTATTTATATTTTTGATATCTATATAAATGTCCAAACACACTTTTGAATCTCCCTTGTCAGCTACTCTGACTATTAATTAAATATCAGATGGAAAAGATGTTACATTTCTTTGACATTTTTTATTGAGCTTTTGTCTTTCACTGAATTACACTTAGCATGTGCTGAGACAACAAAGACAAGTTTTTATTCTCTTCTATCTCTCTGTATCAGTAGCTATGACTATATAGCATTATTACATTGTAATTTTTCCTATTGCTGCATCAGACATCACTCGTGTAAGTTCTAGTAAATGTTCAGTCAGTTTTTGCTGGTATTTGCCATTTTTTAATACATATTATTCTTTCTGAATCAGGATGCTGTATACTTTTTAATACATTCACCAATGATCTGTGAATGTGAATAGTTGTTCATATAAGGCCCACATGACTGAAATATGTGGAAGGCATGAGAGATCCATATTGTTTTCATTCCATCCATTACATCCCAACAATTTTGCTTTTTTGATGACAGCTTGAGCTGCTGCCTGCATTAAACAGTCTACAGTGGAACCTATTGCAGTTTTGCTTCCTGTTATAAATGTGAGAACTCTGAAAATTTCTTTGATAGGAAATAATTTAGACCTAATAAGTTATTTTTAGCCCTTTTTGTGCTTAGCCCCTGGAGCACTGACATGTTAGGGAGCTGCTGTGAATGTGCTTCCATTGCAAAATCTGATTAGGGAGACATTGCATCTTATTACACACAGAGTAACACAGAGAACCAGGTGAAAGCAAGTTTCCTAGGTTTCCTTACAGAGTTGTTTGATTAGCTAAAAAAATACAGTTTCTACTGCTTTCTGACCCTCTAAAGAGTTTAACTGTTTAATGAGGGATTAAAAAGCTGCTAGTCTGGAAACCCCAAAATTAGAAATATGTATACACAGGAAATGATGTATTTCTACACAGAATTAGTTATAGGCAAACATTTCTTTCTTGACCTCTGTTCCTGGCCTTTTTATTCTCAATATTACCTTAGATGCATTTCCAGGGAAAAGCATGCTGGCAGTATCAGTTGTTCTCTTTAACTCTTTGCCTGTCACGCTTGATGCATCTCATTTCTGACAAATTTAATCTTACAGTTTTGTACTAAAAACTTTCAGTTCTTTTCTTCCCAGCATTCAATTCACCCCTTCTAATTTCTAATATAATTTTCCAGCTGTTGTTTATGCTAGCAATTCTAATGAGACTGAGTAAAATTAGTGCCTTGAGTGTATTAGTTGTCTTCCTTCCTCATCTTTTTCCTACCACTGTGTTGAGATTTTTCAAGGAACAAATGGAAGATAAAGTACCTAATTTTATATAAATGAGAAAATATGACAAAACCAACAACCTCCTGTTGCTTCATTCTTTTGTTTAAAATCCAATTTCAAAATGTGCATCCCTTCCCTGTATTTCTTTTAGCTGCTCAATTCTTTTATGTGTGCTTTTGTATCTAGCTGAAAACACTATGCTTTAACTATGCAATATAAAATAAGGATAATATTTTTTCTTGGTTTAGATCTTAAGGTCTTTATGTCTTTGCCTACCTTGAGATAGGTGTCACTGTGCAAAATTTATTATGAGCTACATGTTGTGGGATGTAGATCATACTAAAAACAAATAAAACCAGCAGATCCTAAAAAGCACCTTGCAGAAAGGTGGTACTGTACAAGTTTAAGCTCAGTCTGCTGCTTGGCAAACAGGGAAATTCAGTTATTTCAGATAGATAACAATTTTTTTTTTTGTTTTAAAGCTTCCTAGTCAAAGGAACCTAGTCAAATTGCCTGTCTGCTTAAATGAATAAACTATTCTTGGGTGTGAGACAGTAACACCACAGTCAGATAGTATCAAAACTCTACTGGTGATATATCAAAGGAAGAGTTTTTAAGGAAAAAGCAACTGCACGTTAATTAATGTCTTACAGCTACCTGAAATGCAGTTTTACCTCAGCCTGTATGTATTCAGTAGCCAAGCAACAGCAGGACTAGGTCAGGGGAAATTGTTTCTCAAAATGATCCATTCACAGGCCTGAGTTTTTTCTCTTTTGCAAGAAATTGCACCTTCAAAATGCTTTGTATAAAGTCCTTCCTGGTTACAATGTTATTAAATCACCATTCCTTTTATAACCAAGCTACCAAATTTGTAACCAGGGAAACCCAAGCACAGGACAAACACTAAGCTCTTCCTTGTGCTGTGAGACTATAATGTTTCTGTAAGAGACCTTAACAGTTATTGTGCAGCACAAAGCAGAGTAACATTGCAAAGAGATTCTTTTTAAAGGTTTTATTATCTAATGTAGAACCTAGAACTCATAGAATTCCATTTTCATCAGAATACTAGTGGACTTCCCAAACATGCCTGAGTCACCTAAGCCAAGCATAACATCTGTTACAAAGAAAATTAGATTAAGATAATTGGCTGAAAATGTGCTTTAACAAGGTAGTAATTTTCCATTATATGACTTCTAAATAACAGTATCTGCCACTACGTCTGTCTGAAATAAAATTCTGGAAAGTATTTTTTTGCATAACTTAAATGAAGCAACATAGGAAACATGTAAGAAGATAGGCATTTATTTTCCTGCAATATATAGTCATGTTGTCTCCCATACAAATCTCTTTCCCATATTTTTCCTATTTCTTGATGTAAATGGAGTGCTAAAAACATTCCTGTTCCAAATATGAAGGAGCATTATTTCATTATAAGGAATAAACCTGATTACTCAAGGCTGTCAGAGAAAACCAGAAAATTTTTCTCCTACTTGCTGGTCTTCCAGTTTTTTACAGATTTTACTCTTTCTTAATTTTTAAAGGTGTGTTATTTTATGTAGGAAACGTCTAAAAATGCTCAGTGTGACAATGGTAGCAGATAGCAGTGAGGAGAGAAAAATGTGAAATGCCTCAATAACTGATACTATTTGGTAGCAGATTCATTAAATATAAGCATTATGACAGTTATCAAACCTTTACTTGGCCTTTTATTTCTTAGACATGAGACAATAGGGCAGCTCTAACTGAGGAATCACTGATAGTTGTTTTGAAGGATTTATGATTATATGATTTTTTTATTTGTCAAATCATATTCATAAGAAGACAAAAGGGGCATTGAGGATTACTTATTGATGTTTTTCATTTTACTACCTGATAAATTATTGGAAAAACTGAAGTTTTTAAGTTATACATTAAGAAGAAAAATGAAAAAAAAGATACAGTAAGTGATAACAGAATATACAGAGCAAAAGATTAATATATTTTAAAGCCTGAATATGTCATTACGATCACCTAGTGTTATCTATACCACAGAAACACTTGTTCCATGGATATCATTGTTCTAGTGTTTTCAATGAATTATTAAATTGCAGTGTATGTGTTGTCAGTGACTACATTTCTTGCGTTTACATGAAAGCTAAGGTGTATGGTTGACCTCCATTATATCATAGTATTTTCAGACAATCTGACATCACATATTCAAGTTCCTGTATAATCAGTGAGGAGAGATACCTACCTAAGATTCCTAAATGTTAGTTTGTCTGGATCTCTCTATGGACACCTTCAAAGATAGCTGCTTTTCCCTGTCAATTAAATCAGAAACATACACACTCTAGGAAAACGTGCTCATTATCTATTAAATTACTGAAGGATGAGATCTATAGCAGAAATATAGTAATTGTACTGCACTGCATTTTTACTCTAATAAAGCTGAAAAAAGGTTTTTAAAGGGCAGGCATGGACTTAGGATCCTATTAAAGAAATAGTCTTTACAAGTTTTTTGCTTGTTGGTGTTGTAGTTTAGCACAACTATTTAATTGTATATTGTTTGTGTTCATTTAAAGGGTATCATTACACAGTCAGCAAAATCTAATGACTGTATCCAACCTTGGTGTTATCTTTGGACCAACTCTGATGAGAGCCCAAGAAGAAACTGTGGCTGCTATGATGAACATTAAGTTTCAGAATATCGTCGTTGAAATTCTGATAGAGCATTATGAAAAGGTAGAAGGACATTATCTGTTTTGTGATAAAGTAGAACTAAAGTCTTAATTTCATTACCATCTTGAAGATCTTACAAAGGAAACTAGCATTTGTAGAAGGTGATTGACAGGAAGAATGCCTTCCTTTCATTCCATGCTATGGATCTGGATTCCTAGCAAGTCTTGTGGCTGTGCAAGGTACAGATGCAAGGCTTAATCTATTGTGTTTTGAAGGAGTTGCCCTGAATCTTCAGTTGCTTTCTGAAGATTGCTGTCTTTCTTATATCTAGAAACAGAATGAAAAGGTCATTACTTTGCTCCCAGCTCCTCTGTCTCTCTCTTGCTAGCAGTGTATGAAGGTTTACTCTGGGTGAATGCATGGGTTCTCCCCTGAGAACATCACTTCAGACTTTCTGAGCACTGCTACCCTTTCGGAATTCATCAGTGGCTCAGTGGACACCTAGTCCCACCTAATGTCATGAAACCCCAACTATCCTTCAGTTCCTCTTTTCATGAACAACGTGAATATGGATCCCCAGCGCAACCCTCATTTCTGTGTGCTGTGTCAGTTTTCATGTGTGTAGTATTAGATCAAAAGTAAAAAAGAAAATTAAAAAAAAGGGAAAGGAAGAAAACAAAAGTATCTTAAATGAAGTATTATTCCTATTTACAAGTTTTAAGCCCATCGTGTCTTTGTGATTTAAAAACTCTTAAAAGTTCTTGAATAGTCTGGAACATAAAAACTTCTCTAGGTACTTCTGCTTTGGAGAAAGGCATGTCTGTGACTGCCTGGTTTGTTTTGTTTTCCCCAGAGACCAGTGACTGCAAAGATCCATCACAAACTATTTCCTGGAATATTTAATAAGACCTGCTTCAGGGCTTGAGAATGAAAATCCACGAAATCTTGAAACACTTACGTCCAGTCACTACCATTGCAGTTATCAGCTTCACTGAAAAGTCTTCTCAGATACTTTATTTTAAACCATTTTACTTCAGAACTCAGCAGAACAGCCAAGACCTCCTTCACTTGGTTGTCAAAATAAGTTTTATTTGTGGGATCTTTTGTTGATACATATCACCTTCTCTGATGACTACCGAAACAAAGCAAAAAACCTTTGGGTTTCTTCCATTTAATTTTACTCAGCTAAGGGGCAGTTCGTGGTCAGTACCAGGATCCCCTGCACTGATTGGGTAGTAAGTACTGACAGTACTGCTTGCTATCCTCAGTTATATTTCAAATACCTCCAATTGATATGATACAGATAGCCTCCTTGCCTGTAACTCCATAAAGTATTGCATTGTTTCCAACACTGAATTTCCCCTCCAGAAAATTACAAGCCCATTCAATACAAAGATGTTTACTTTCTTCCACTTGTTTGAGTGGCATGAAGGTATCTTTTCATTGTTCACTTCATTCTCCCCTGGGACTGCCCTATTGATAGGGGATCCAGAAATCCTCACAAAAGTTTATTTTGGCATTGCATGGACTTGACCCTCTCTACACTATGGAGATTGGACACTACTGATTCTTTCAGTAGCTTGACTGAATAGGCAGTCTTCATCTGCAAAATCTCTTCTCCACTCCACAGAGCTAATTCTACTTTTTTCCACAGAAAACTCAGAGTTTACAGTCTACACTGGGAGTAATAGATGAGAAAGGACATCTGAAAGAAAAGCATGCCGATTTTTTTTTTTTATTTTTGCTTTGGACATCCTCCAAGGCAATTATAATTTTTACTAGAGTATCCATGAGGGCTTTTAGGGTCTTTAAAGACCTCTGCTGCACATCTTGGATATTGTAGAACAGGTGATGCAAATGAAAGTCACCCAAAGTACTGAACTTTCTGTACTGTCCATGCTGTCAAGCTTGCCATGGTTATCAGCAAATAGTTCTTTAAAATCTCCTGTGTACCTGTGACAGATTTCCAGTAGTCAAATAACCCCCAAATTCTATTTTTTTCTGCAGTAATGAAGTCCAAAATTGACCAGTTTTAGCAGTGGTATGTAAAAGATTAAAATCAGGAGATGCTCCAAACATAAAGATGTTCTTCATCAAACTTTACACATTTGGCAAAACAAAGTGGTTTTCTGAAATTAAAAAATGGTTTGTAATAAGTTATGACTGTAAGAAATTTCTGTGACATACAAAAGCTTTCACAGGAACACAGAGAAAAAATTCAATCTTTTTATAATATTTTAAAAGATGTATTGTTCATGGACAAGTGTTAGTTGTAAGGACATATCATGTGTTACATAATTTAGACCATTGCACACTTAACAAAGGCTAGAAAAATATAACTATTTAAACAAATATTTTAATATAACTAGTATATACTTTAAGTACAAGTCATATTGTGTTTCTTGGATTGTAAAATGAGGTCAGAGCAAAGCTGTGAATTTATTCTTTTGTAATGTGTGAGACTATTACAGCATTAATTTCAGGTGCAGTGGTGAGGAAAACAAATGGATTAGTAATGGAAGTATTGGTAGAAGAGTATTGTTTATGTAATGTTTTTTCCCTGTTTTCTTAATCATACAGATATTTCACACTGCACCAGACCCCAATATTCCTCTTCCCCAACCTCAGTCTCGATCAGGTTCAAGAAGGACAAGAGCAATTTGTCTCTCCACAGGTTCACGTAAACCAAAAGGAAGATATACACCATGTCTAGCAGATCCTGACAGTAAGTTTGCCCTTGTTGATTCATTATCTTACTTTTTATGTCTTAATTTTCCTGAATAATATCCAGTAAGTATTTTATTCCAACAATTACAAATGTAACAGATGGAGTTTTGTCAGCTTCTTAACCTCTGTGAATCACAGCTGCTCTGGTGAGTGACTGCATTTCTGGCTGCTCTCAGGTGAGGCAGGATGTTCCATTTTAGGCAGGTCTTGTATTTCATACAGTGTTCAAAAATCTTTATGGACTTTATATTTTAATCTAAATGTAATCTGCTTTGAAACTCTAAGGAGTTTGTTATATGGAGCTTCTTATAAGATGATTGTTAATTTTGGGAAACCGTGAGTAGAAGCTTTCATCTCTTCCTGTAATAAATGTAATTTAGTCAATGTCAGCAGACCAAAACCATTACTTGGCTTTTCCCACCTACATATTTTGGGGAAAAACAGTATATTTATCATATGACTTAATGTTTAACAGTAGGGATTTATGTGTGTAATTAATTACTACTTAGAATGCTTATTCATTTTAATGTAAATATGCCTATTAAAAATGTTTCACTTCATTCATTTTCATCTAGTTGGCTATTACTTTTTTATTTACTGGCTGTACCAAACAGTAGGAAAGATTATGTTGTTAATAGTTTTTACTGCTGCAGCAGACTTCCAAAAGAACTTGTGTCCTTTGGTTGCTCAAGATTTATATGAAACTGGTACACTAAATTAATCCACACTTAAGGTACATCTGTTCCTGAGGATCTGTAGTAATTCTTAAGTCTGCAGTTTTCCATAGGTTTATATTACATGATTCCTACGAATGACAGTTTAATAATACTACATAAGAGCCTGTCTACATGTCAACTGCCAGTGGGAATGGTGTGGGATCCTGAGTAAGAAATTACAGGGGAACCATCAGTTTCATTCACCATATGAGAAACCATGCTAGTTTCAACTGTTTTTTTTCCACTGTGTAACTATCATGAATGGATGCCAGCATAAAAATATTTATTCAGATGGCTGTCTTATACTGGCAGTTGGATTGAAACTAGGCCTGACCCAGGGGCTCTCCACCTGTGCTTTGCTTATAGCTCAAGCTAAACACTTTCTATGCAAGTTCCAGTTAAGATCTCGCTTATATCTGGAAGGCTGAGAAAGGCAAAAGAGAGCCTTGGCTTCTGACAGTAGCAAATTCTGAAGTATTAGATGGTTTTAAGTCATAATGTAAAGGAAGCACAGACAATTATATTGCAGGAAATTAAGGCATTTGGTATGGAATGACAACATGAGATTTCAAATGAGGTTTCAAACAGTGGGGAATTATAGAAAATCTGACAAATTTAGGCTTCAGCCAGTCTTGCAGTTTTCAAGGGACTAATGCTCTGTGAAGAGAGACAAGATGGGGGACAATCTAATCTGGAATACCAGAATTCTGGCCAGAAATTAGCAGAATATTTCAGATTACTGTACCACTGGCACTACTCTTGGCAGATCTGCTATACAAGATACTGGTATTTGTGGACTTACCTGTAGTATTTTATGTGGTTGTGGTCACTTATTGCCAAGGTGTTAAAAAAATGGATAGACATGGTGCCTTGGGAGGTGGTTTAGTGGTCACAGGGTTGTAGGGCTGATGGTTGGGCTTGGTGATCTTTAAGATCTTTTCCAGCCTGTTATCACTGGATATCCTGCTCTCAGAGCCAGCTGTAGATCTCTTTTTTCTCCAAGCTCAGCATGTCCCACACTAAACTCCCCAGTTCTCAGGTACACATTGCAGGAGGGGAAGCAAACGGTTGGGTGGGTTGCTGAGACATCTCTTTAGTCCATCAACAGATGTTGTTTAACTCTCAGATGCCACAAGACAGACAACAGATATCCTGAGTGCCAGTCTATCACTTATCTCTTGGATTGTTTGAGACGAGCACTATACATTCTGAATGCCACACAACCTTAATGATTCTATGATTATATGATTCTATGAAACATGTAGATGGAAGCAGCTGTATCATGTTTGTATCTTAAAAGTACTGTGTGGTTGAAGAATATATATTCTTGTGAAATTTATGAATTACATCTCCTGGCTTTTGGGAACAAATCCTACTATAAACCGGTGTATGACGCACTGGACAGAATCCAGTCTTCAAGATAATTCAGCCCTCACTGTATTTATAAGCCAGGTCTTCCTCAGTTCTGCTGAGTGTTCCTTGCTTTATATCAATAGATAATTTTGTTAGGACATTCCCACTTTTTGTTGTAAAAGTTTATTGGAAAAAATAATAAGTGCAAAGATTGTTGTGTAGGTAGGTACATTTCTGTAATACCAATCTAATTAAAGAAAGCAATCAGATATTCAGGTTGTAAGGAATGAGTTGTCCTTCGGCAGGATAGATATTTTGTGATAGGTGTGACAATTCAGAAAGTAGGATATCTATTGATAGACTTAGGGCTTAGTGTTAGACTACAGAGATGCTCAGCACCTTGTTAACCAAAGTAAAATTTAATTCTTGTGCTTGCAGGCAATGCAGTCATGCATTTAATATAAATGTGACAAGTATCACATTCACCTTCTTATGGAAGTCCAACAAGATGCTCACCATAAAGATACTGCAGAATTGTAACTGTTCATATTCCTAAGCATATTTATATTGCAAGCAGTTCTTGGAAAATGCAAACTTTTATGCCACATACTTGAAACTGTAGAACATTATATTAACCAGCTCTAAAGAAATGTCCACAAATGCAGCTCTTCCAGGTTAGATATAAGAATATGTGTGAAATTCAGAGTAACTAAATAGATATGTTGTCTTAAGAATCACTGCCTCTGAAACCACAGATTAATTAATTTGATGGCGGGTAAGGTACAAGGCACTCAAGGTAGCATGAGAAAAATGCACATGATTAGAGAATGTAATTTTTTGTTTGTTTGTTTCCCTCTCCCCTCCTCTAACTCCTCCCTAGGTGACTCATACAGCAGTAGTCCAGACAGCACTCCCATGGGCAGCATTGAGTCTCTCTCTTCTCACTCCTCTGAGCAGAACAGCACCAGCAAATGTGTACCCTCACAGCCCAGAGAGAAGTCAGGAGGGATTCCATGGATTGCCTCGCCCCCTTCTTCTAATGGTCAGAAGAGTTCAGGCCTGTGGACTACAAGTCCAGAATCCTCATCAAAGGAGGATGCGACCAAAACAGATGTGGAGTCAGACTGCCAAAGTGTAGCTTCTGTCACTGGACCAGAGAATGCCTCTCCACCAACAGACCTGACCAAAAAGAGTTCTTACAGTCTGTCTGGGTTAAAAAGGTCTTCAGCTTCTTCCCTCAGATCAATTCCATCAGCTGAAGGTAATTTCCAAAGTCTTTTAGGACCTCAGTGTTTACTGTGAGATATTAGAAAATAAGAGCTGCATCTGAAACTTAATGTTATCCATTAATCTTTTATGGTTTTGATTTTTTTATTATCTTTGTGGCATGGTCTTTCAGTTTTCAAACTACTTCAGATGTTTTTCCATTGTCTATTAACTGCAGAGTTCACCCAGCTTAAAAACTGTCAGAGTTTCTCAGAATACAGAGTGCTCTGTCCTGCTGTGCCTCACCTAGACCACTGTAAGGAGGTTGCTGGTTTATAAGAGGAGTTGGTAGCTATGGTTTATCACAGTGTCAAAGGAGTGATTTTTTGCAACATGATTGATAATGATCAAAGCTAGCATTTACATTTAAAAAGCAGTAGGCTTAACATGTCTAATAAGTAACAGTTTTGTCACTCCATGTTTATATCCCTGGCTTTTGGGTGATTTTTTTGTTGGGTTTTTTGTGTTGTTTTTTTTTTAAGTTATGGATTTTATAGTCAATGCCTTTAGTTGTGATAGAACTGGTCAGATGGTATAAAAAGGCATGAAATCCCTGGCATGAAATTCATTCTGCCCTACTTGGGTTTTTTGTCATCCAGTCCTTCAGTTGCCATTTAAGTACAATGTAGTTTTTTTAGCCTTTGCAATTTAAATGTTATTTCTTCATTCTTGCTGTTGGTCCTTTTGTTCTGCCTTTTCTTTTCTATCTTAGTACATACTTTCTCTACCTATTTTGCTGCTTAAAAACAAACAAAACCCACACAACAATAACAAAAACTTTGCTTTGCATTTTACACTTGTTGTGAAACAACTTCAAATTAGCTCTAATATTCCCTATAACTTGGTTGCTTTCTGTAGGTAACAAAAGCTGCAGTGGATCTATACAGAGCTTATCTTCAACAGATAACAAAGATACACCAAAGACTCTACCAAACCCTGATTTGCCTCCCAAAATGTGCAGGAGATTAAGATTAGATACTGCATCAAGTAATGGCTATCAAAGACCAGGATCTGTGTAAGTTATCAAGACCCTTTGGAGATTAGTGTTGTTACATCGTCTTAGTAGATACAATTAGTGTTGTATGTCATCTACTATGAAGTGATCCAAGAGTGATCCAAGTCAATGAAAAATCATTACTTTATTTTAATATTTCTGTATTTTTGAATTATTTCTCTACCTTCATTGAAATTGGAAACAAAGGAGACATGGCACAAAGTCTGTTGAAGTCACTTTAAAGACACCCATTGACTTAATTAGACTGCAGAAAGGTCTATGACAGAGAAATGTATCTTTGGAAAGTTAGTAGTATTATTATCTCTGATTCCTCTGGAATTTAGTGTTTGAATCATAGAATCATAGAATCCTAGGGGTTGAAAAGGACCTCGAAAGATCATCTAGTCCAACCCCCCTGCCAGAGCAGGGTCACCTAGAGTACATCACACAGGAACGCATCCAGGTGGGTTTTGAATGTCTCCAGTGAAGGAGACTCCACAACCTCCCTGGGCAGTCTGTCCCAGTGCTCTGTCACTCTCACAGTAAAAAATTTTTTCCGGATATTCACCTTGAACCTCCTATGCTCCAATTTACACCGATTACCCCTTGTCCTATCACTGGTCATCACTGAGAAAAGCCTAACTCCATCTTCCTGACACTCACCCCTTACATATTTGTAAACATTGATGAGGTCACCCCTCAGTCTCCTTTTCTCCAAGCTAAAGAGACCCAGCTCCCTCAGCCTTTCCTCATAAGGGAGATGTTCCACTCCCTTCATCATCTTTGTAGCTCTGCGCTGGACACTTTCAAGCAGTTGAAGGAGCATAAATGCTGCTTACTCTCCATGCTGTTGTGTGAAGAAGATCTTCAGATTTTATTTACGTCCAAAATTGGAGAAAGGAAAAAAAAAAGCCTAAAACTTCTGCTCTGAAATTCCTTCAGTTGCTGCATGTTAAATAGTTGATATATTTGTGTGTTTCTAACAGTTGTTTTTGGGTTGGTTTTTTTTTTAGAGCGGGGTTGTGTTGAAAGGAGGATAGTTCTAAGTAATAGATTTATAATTTAGATTGTTGAAATCTGGGTTCACAGTGTTTCTCAGTGCTTTTAGCACAAATTGAGTGTCAGATCTTTGCTTTAGTCCTGACTTGGACCCAGCTTTCCTCTATCCCCATGAGCGAGTGATTTCCAGATCTGCAGAGCACTAGGAAGTTCCCCAAATACTGCATGACTTTATTCAGCCACTCCACTTTTTAAACTGGAACAGCAGTTATTTCTCAGACTGTTGTGTCTGCACAAAAAAAAATAAAATCCTGCAAAGCTCAGAGCTCTGTTGTGATAGCGACAGACTGGCAGTAAAAGCATTTCCAATATATCTATTGGCCATCCATTAATAGTATGTTAACAGGGTGTTGAGATACCCTTGCTGACTCAGCGAAGCCCTAGAGCATGTGGAAGTCAGGCCTCAATTAGGTTATCCTCTCAAGAATTCTGTTTAATAGGGAGTTGAATTCAGCTTTTGAATTTCCTGTTTCTCCAAGTTAATAACTAAAACAAGTTTTTGAAATGTGTCCATGTCTTCAGATGATTAAAAGTGAAGTTAGTTTGTGTGTTTTATTAATGGGCAAAAGTATAAAGGAAGGTCTTGCTTTATTTTCAGAGTGGCTGCAAGAGCCCAGTTGTTCGAAAGTACTGGTTCAATTAAACAGGTTTCTTCAGGACGGTAAGTGCTTCATAGTGTTTAGCAATTTGTAAAATCTTCTCTCTTATGCTGGCTTCAAAAACTGAAATAGAAGTGTTGGAGTTTTGTTCTGTGTATTTTGGATAGCATTTGGTATGCAAAATTTTTGTGGCTTATTAAACTCATTCTTACTCTAGAAGAAAACTAAATCTGTATAGAGAACACCAGCCTATCTGTCTGTTCTGTCTTCTGGGGGACTCATAGTGAGAGGTGCTCAGGGCAGTGATCTGCTTAAGGACACAGCTACAAGAGTAAATTAATAGGATTTAAATTAAGATGAACGTGCTGTACTTACTCCATACAGCTGTTTGGATATACATGCTTTCAGTAGAGTGCTAGTTTGTGGTAATTTGCTCATGTAGACAAGTCCTGAATACCAGCTGTTTTAGAAAGTTCAAGATGAACTTGACCAGAATTCCTCTGCTTCCCATCATACCTTCCATGCTTTCATATCTATCTGAAGAAACTGTTCCCCTTTTGTCTTGATAGTGTGTAGCAGGAATTATTTACATTTAATTTACAATTGCATGCATTTATGTAGTGGACTTGATTAATTCTTATAAGTTAAAATGTTCTGATAAGTGTTCATCTAGGAAGCAGTATCTTTCATATATTACTAACCAGTCAACTTTTAGTAGGCTGAGGCAAATAACCAAATAAATGGATGTGGGAAAAAGTCTTCTAAAGTCTCTCTTGTAAGTGTCCCTGCATTTTGAGACAGAACATACCTTTTTGTGCATCCTTTACTCACTGGTGCCAGGAACTGTCAAGCTTACTGGAACTATCAAGTGATAGGAAAAAACCAAAAATGTTAATCCATTAATCCAAATAGTAAACTGAAGTAGCACAGCTGTAAACAAAGATGCCAACGTGTGCTGAGGTGTGCAGCAGTAGAAAATGGCTGTCCTCTCTGCCAGATCAGCAGGGGTGAGAAAAAGAAAGCTGACCTGCAAAGGCCCGTTGATTTATTCAAGGGAAGCAGCTTGCATGAATCAAGGCTGTTCTTGCCTTGTGTTACATTTAAACTGTAAGGAGACCAAAAAAGAAGGTGACAGGGAGGAAGGAGAGATGGAAACAGCAGGGTATTAATTTAAGGAAGAAAAGTATAATTTAAGAGACTGGAATGTTCTTAAACTGGTGCCCTAAGCAGAGTGTGTGGACTGCTTCACCAGTCCTGCATCATTTCAGCTCCACCACTGCTCCTGCTTTTATTTTGTATTGGTCCTTTCTTGTAAACTCTCCCTGTTGTTCCCTCAGAGCCTATGCCACATGTATCTGTATATGAAAATCATGTAAGAAGCAAAAATCTGACAAAGGAAAAATGTAGCAGTTTGATAATGGATATGAAGAGCAGATAACAAAGCCAAAAATGTTGAAAGACTTAATAGCTACTCCAGCCTTCCTAAGAAGCAGAAGAGCAACAGTAACAAGGAGGAAGGAAAACGAGAAGTCAGCAGGCAATATGAGGAAGAAATAAGAAGTAGCTCAAGCTGTTCTCATAGTGCTGCTCAAGTCTGAACAAGATTTTTGCAATCCAGAGACAGTTTTTATTTACCTCTCATGCATGTTATGAGCCTGAAGGCTGATTAAAAAATTTAAGATAGTCTTTTTTTTGCTCTCAAGTATCTAGAAATGGTAGAAATCACATCTTGATCCACCAAGCCGAAAGGTCTTCTGAGTTCAAAATTCTAATAACTAATGAATATATGCAGCACAGACTATGAAACAGAGAAACTATTTTTAAGTTGTCTGATTTGATACCAGAATTATCGAAGTCAAGATACTGCCTAACTCTGTGCAGGGGTAGTTTACCCTGCTAAAAATAGCTAGCTTTGGAATGTTAAGCTACTTCTTACCTATGTATCACTGTATCTAAGTAGCTTCATTCTTGCTTGAAGCATCTGTTGCATGTTGTGGTCATTGGTACAGTAGACAGATCAAAATTACCTGTATGGCTTTGCAGTCTCACTTTGTCCTCTGTATTCCAGCAGATAATTTTGTACTCTGCTTTACCACCACAGTGGCCTGCTCATATTTAATTTCTTCTTCCAAGTAGCTTTTGCAGCCCTGCTTTCTGACTTTGTATAATGTGGTTTCTCCAATATGAGTGAGTGTGTGTGTCCCTTTTTTTTTTTTTTTTTTTTTTTTTGATGCTGGGACAATTTTTGACCTGGCTGTTTTCTCTCCTTGTATACATGAGTACATGCCCCCACAGCCCTAAAAGACTGAACAGATTTCTTCTAGGCAAAAAGAGAATGAGAAGTATACATTTTAGGTTTGGACAGGGAAGACCTGTGCTCTCTTTTTCTGATTCCAGAAGTACTTTGACTTCTCAGTCTTGCCATACCTTCCCACCCGACTAGAAGTTCATTAATGATCAGTCTTCCACACTGTGTACTGTGTACACTGAGACCAGTCCTTGTTGCCAATCTGCTATGCACTTGAAAGAGTCAAAGGAATTTTCTTACTGCTTTCACAAATATTGCAGCTGTCCAACGGTCTTAGTAATGCCTGAGATCTCTTTATTGCAGTTTCTGTGCAAAAATGCACCAACATGTAATCCCTGACTCTGTGTTTTCTTGACTTTGATTTAGAGGTACACATAAAGTCAATATGTTTATCACATAAAGTGTGAAACTGCATCATAAGAAGGACCTGGCTGTTTTCTCTCCTTGTATACATGAGTACATGCCCCCACAGCCCTAAAAGACTGAACAGATTTCTTCTAGGCAAAAAGAGAATGAGAAGTATACATTTTAGGTTTGGACAGGGAAGACCTGTGCTCTCTTTTTCTGATTCCAGAAGTACTTTGACTTCTCAGTCTTGCCATACCTTCCCACCCGACTAGAAGTTCATTAATGATCAGTCTTCCACACTGTGTACTGTGTACACTGAGACCAGTCCTTGTTGCCAATCTGCTATGCACTTGAAAGAGTCAAAGGAATTTTCTTACTGCTTTCACAAATATTGCAGCTGTCCAACGGTCTTAGTAATGCCTGAGATCTCTTTATTGCAGTTTCTGTGCAAAAATGCACCAACATGTAATCCCTGACTCTGTGTTTTCTTGACTTTGATTTAGAGGTACACATAAAGTCAATATGTTTATCACATAAAGTGTGAAACTGCATCATAAGAAGTACTTTCATTAGAAAAGAATACCTAGAAAAATATGAACAAGGAGGTGGTGACAGCAAAGAGCTCTGACTTGGCAGCAGGATCTCTAGGTTCTGGGCTGGGACTTAGAGTAGGCTGACATTCTGAAGCCCTGTAGACCACTGTTCCTCTCCCAGCCCTATGATTAAATATCCTTTCCCAGGCATTCTTCTGTTTTTATTTTTGTTATATATTTTGCATTTCCTTAAACACCTGCATGCCTCACCCAGTCTATACCAATATTTCTTACTCATTCAAGCTTGGGTTTAAGTCTGCTATACCCAGGAGTCATAAACTTTTCTTCTTCCTGCAGGATAATATTAACTTATTAGTCATCTGAGATTCATTTATTTTCCTTCATTCATTACTCTTCTGGCTTCTGTCTTTGTCTTGCTAGACTGAAAATTAATTAGGCCTCAGGTGTTGTTGACTGTGTGTAGACAAGCAAAATAGTTTATGATCTGATGAGTACTGCCCATTTGACTACTAGTATAAGTTCATCATTATGGGCTCAAAACAAATGTAATTAAAAGTAGGAAAAGGGAAAATGCATTTTTTTCTCATCTGGAGTCTATCCCGTAAAGTAGGAACTTCTGCTGTAGATGGGAAGTTCTTTGTAACAGTAGGGACTAAGGAGTTGTCTTGGAAAAATACTGAACAGAGCAGTGTGCACCAGCCAGAAAACAAGTTGACATTTAAGCAGGCAAACAGGAGTCCAGTGCTTATGTTGTTCTTGTTAGCAGTGGGCATATATCCCAAACAGAGTACTGAGAGTTAGAAATGTTTTCAGCATCCTGAAAATAAGGTGCTCTTGAATATCAAAGGCACTCAGAATTCTTAATCTCTTCTGAATGTCTTCAGCCCTAGAGTCTAACCCCTGATGAGTCAGTTGTTCACTAAGATGAAGGCAAAGTTTGCCACTTGGTCTAATGATAAACCGGCTTCAGAGCTTTTTCTTCAGAGAGAGAAATAATTTCTGGAAAGCTCACACATACAAACTTAGGAATATGTTCTTCCACTCATATCCTTTTAGAGATTCAGATAAATGATGGTGTGCTAGTACTACTTGGCACTAGGTATGAGACCAGAGTAGAGGGAAGCTGTCTGCTCCCATTAGGAAGTCTGTCTCTGCTTAACCTCACCAGTGCATTGACTTTTTAAGCTAATGCTTATGATGTAGCACTGTTATTAATCTAACTTGCAACTTTGTTTTCTCAGTATTTGGGGAGGAAAGTAAAAATATGTTACTTGCAGATAGACCCTCTCAAGAAGTATGCTAGAAATTTTAAACTTCACCACAAATCGCATACTGGGTCATTGAGATAGATCCTGGCTGGAAAAAAAACTGAATCAGTAATGCCCCATCACATACAACAGTGAAATAATTAACAAGTTCATCTTCATTTGGTATAATGTGAGTTTCTAGTAAGTATAAAGAAACTCAGAAAAACTGATAGATCATATAAAAATTGCCTTGATTATATAAATTAAGACAAAGGTGTTAGGTAAAGCACAGGAATCTAGAAATAATTTGTAATTTCCATCATCGTGTTCAATCTTTCATTTAATTTTTGTGGAGTCATAGTATTAGAAGCCATATCAAGAGGTGACTTAATCCATCCTCCTTCTCTGGGATAGAATCATGATGTATCCAACTGAGGGTTTTGCAGATACCTGTGTAGTGGCTTTTAAAATTTGTTTTGAGTTTCTTAAATTAATTTTTAGTAATATGAATTCTTCAATTCAGGGATTCTTCAATTCTTGGCAGTTCCAGTCCTTCACTAGTCCAACTGATAGAGGGGTTTACCAGTTGCAGATTAAGATACATGAACTGAGCTGTATGCCTGTAGGTTTCTTCATGCCAGGTATTATTTGAGGAAGCATTTCATTGAAGGTGTTGCTGCAGGCATTGGAACCTGGTGAGCCATTTGTTGCACTCTCAAGTAGGCGTCTACCATGGCAGAAGCCAGACCTGGAGGGTCTGTGGAGCTTGGCATGTAGGTTTTTTATAGACATCTAAATTTAGGTGGCTGAAGCTGACACCCACCCCAGACACCTGATTTGAATCTCCCTTGCTGCAATTTTAACCTATTTAAGTCCTTTTCCCAGTCATCCTGGAGAACAAATGTATCCTTTTTTTGGGGTGCATATTTACCTTCTATGTATTGTTTTCTCCTGTAGACTGATCAACTGCATTTTCTTACAGTTCATGCTTTTAGTCCTTTAATGATCATTTTTTAATTTTCTCGAGGCAGTCCATCATGTGTGTCAAGCAATATGCTCAATTCAGTAGTCATTTAAATAAAAAATTCAATTAGAATGAAAGAATCCTTTTCAAAGTTATAAATTATATACTTCTTTAAACTTCTAAGTAAGATGTTGGTCTCTTTTCTGCAATGACATGCTTGTTAACTCCAGTAAGCTTGAAGTTATTGTCTGCTATAATTCTACTCCTCTGAACTACGGTGTTACTACTCATTACTATCCTGTATTTGTGCAATTGATTGTTCCTATTCTTCCCAGGCTTTAATTTCATTTCTTTATATGTTTTTCTTTGTTACCTCCTTCATTGCAAGCCTGTATTTTTTTCCTTTCAGACAAGCAAAAGCCATGTATTCTTGTAAGGCTGAGCATAGTCACGAGCTGTCTTTCCCACAGGGAGCAATATTTTCCAATGGTAAGATATGCTTTACATTCTCTTTTTAACATTAAAAAAAATATTAAAAACCTGATCTATATCCACAAAATAACAGAGAGCAATTCCATTTTCAACACTCATTTTTTGCATGGATTTTTCAGTTGCTCTTGAATCAATACTGTCTAAATAAGTATATAAACCATATGTAGGATTTTTTAATAGCTTTAAGTTATTGTAAATATGTTTTGTTTGGTTTCTTTTGCAGTATATCCATCAGTGGAACCAGGCTGGTTAAAAGCAACTTACGAAGGCAAAACAGGACTCGTTCCTGAGAATTATGTTGTCTTCCTCTAGTAATCTTTAGTGGACAGCAATATCTTCATGGTATCCATGGTAACAAATAGTAAGCACTGTGATTTTTATCTGACACAGATATGGGATCAGCCCGTTAGTAGATTTCCTCCAGAGACTGCAGCTGCAGGTGATGCAGCTCCCTATCAACGGAACAGAATGTAATGAAACAGTTAACAGTTCCTGTGCTGAAGACGGTACTCTGTTTAAATAACTTCCATTGTTTGCAAAAGGTTGTTCTGTTCTTCTTTTATGGGTAAGGAACACTACAGCAATAAAATCAAAAAGTTACCCTTTAGCTGCAGACCTTCAGGTCCTAGGATTTGGCTCACAGAAGTGTGAAATTTAGAAGTGTTGCACTCGATATTTCTTGCAATCTATAGTTTTTAATATAAAAAAAAATTGTTTTTCATAATATAAGTAATGTTTCTATTGTCATCTGAATTCTCCCTTAGAAAAACTGGTTCTAATAATTTCAAGTAAGAAACGAGTTTTCCATCAATCATAAGTTTGAACTCCTGTCAGTCACTGAGATTACAGTATGTTACCAAATCTATGTAACTGATAATGCAATCAGTTTCTACACTGCCTGAGCATCAAGCAGTCATTCAAAATGTGCTGTCATAGAATCATAGGATGGTTTGAGTTGGAAGAGACCGTGAAGGTCATCTAGATCCAATCCCCGGTATTGGCAGGAACACCTACCACTAGAACAGGTTGCTCCAAGCCCCATCCAGTCTTGCCTTGAACACTTCCAGGGAGGGAGCATCCACAACTTCTCTAGACAACTTCTTCTGGACAACTTCTTACACTAGCGGCTTTCCTCCTAATGTCTAACCTAAATCTCCCCTCTTCCAGTTTTAATCCGTTACCCTCATCCTCTCACTACAAGCCCTTGTAAAAAGTTTCTCCCCATCTTTCCTGTAGGCCCCCTTCAGGCACTGGAAGGCCTGAAGCCTTCTCTTCTGCAGCCTGAACATCCCCAACTCTCAGCCTGTCCTCATAGCAGAGGTGCTCCAGCCCTTAATCACCCTTTTTGTGGTCTTCCTCTGGACTTCCTCCAGGAGCTCAATGTTCTTCTTATGTTGGGGGCTTCAGAACTGGACACAGTACTCCAGGTGGGGTTTCACAAGAGCTGAGTAAAGGACCCTTGACCTGCTGGCCACTCACATTGCTGGCTCATGTTGAGCTTCTCAACCACCATCACCTCTTAAGTCCTTCTCCTTCAGACTGTTTTCAATCCATTTTCCACCCAGCCTGTATTGGTGCTTGGGATTGCCCTGACCCAGGCGCAGGACCTTGCTTTTGGCCTTGACTGAACTTCATGCAGTTTGCACAGGCCCACCTCTCAAGCCTGTCAAGGTCCCTCTAGATGGCATCCCTTCCCTCAGTGTGTCAACCTCACCTCTCAGTTTGGTGTCATCAGCAAACTTCCTGAGGGTGAACTCAGTGCCACTGTCCATGTCGCCAATAAAAGTGTTCAACAGTACGTTTCATTCAAATACTTCTGAGATTTATTTCCTCCTTTCTGTATCAGTATAGATACTATTAACAACTTTTATTTCTGTGATACTCATCATCAGGACAAGATTCTCAGTGTATCTCACAACAACATCTGTAGAAAACAAGGAAATGCTGAACCTGGAATGACTGGAAGTTACGTGAAACAAGCAGTGAAAAACAGCAGTGTGTTATGAAACCTGAGATGAATTGTAACTGAGTCCTTTTCCAACTTTTTTCATCACAGATAATACAAATGGCCTGTGAGGCAGCTGATTTTATAAGCTATGAGTGCTGAAATCTCCTTGTAGAAATAGAAGTGTTTAGTATTAGTTCTCCTGACATCTTCTGAGCTATTTGACAAAGATTTCTCCCCTTCCACAGAATAAAAAAAAACTTATTTCCAGAGATTTGCTAAAGACCCATTGATTGTTCCTGCTAAGACTGAGAAAAAAACCCAAAACAACCCCAAACCATGAGCAGGTTTCTAAATCTGAGCATCTTTCTTGCACACCTTAAAGGAAAACATTCACTGCTTGCTTGGCTACTTACCATGCCCAATTTAAAACCAAGCAATTTAAGCTCCACATTAATGACCTTTCAACACTAACAGTGCTGTAGAAATAATTCACGGTTTCATAGACCTATCTGGGCTTAGTTTTATAGACCTGTTAAGGCTGAGTCCTCTCTTCAGTAATAGGAATCAATATATAGAACGTGTGTTGATTTCCAAGTTGTACAATATTTCCAGGAAGTTTAAGGAAGAACTTGTGTTAGGACTAGAAACAACAGTAGTCTTTTAATTGCTCCTTTTTTCTTTCCATAGCCTTTGTCTTGTTTAAATTAGAAAACAGGATTTATTGTCAATATAAAGCAGCAGATCAGAACCTTTTTACTTGTATGTGTAGTGTGTGATTTCTGCAGAGGAATTCTGTGCTGGAATTCAGGCTGGTGGCAAAAGCCTGCGGGATCATTCTTGCTATTAAGTATCAAGTAGTGATCAGGGAAGGAAAGAGGATCTTCCCAAAAAATGTTCTGGCTTTTCAGAGGGGGAGTCTGGCTAAACCTGACTGCAGACAGTTGAGGACAGACCCCTTGAGTTAGTGACTGAGTTCTTTCTTCACTCTAATCAGTTGCATTTAAGTCCCAAATCATGTTTCACTCCAGCTGAAGACCAGGCTGTGTTCAGCACATTGTGATGAAGGGTTGTTCCAGACATTGTCACAGGTAGTGAAAGCAGACACACGTGCTCATCTAATGTGCCCTGAGCAGATGTGAAAGGAAGTGAAGGTCATTTTTCATTAGACTGAGCCTTTCTAATTTCTAAGGCAAGCCAAGATTTCTTAGTGTAAGCTATGCCTGAAACTGTCACTGCCTTGAGAAGTCCAACATGGTTTGGTTGTGGTTTTGCTGCGTTTCACAATCCAAGAATTGCAGAATGTGCAAAGACTTACCTCTGGTGACCTTTCCTAGGAGTGCTGCTGCAGGCAAAAAGGAGCAGAAAGGGAGACAGAGCTTTGAGCAGATGTTGAAGGCCCTGAACGTGTCTCACACAGGCAGAGAAATGCAGTGGTCTGGGGAAGAATAAAAACACTTCTGTGTGTTGCACAGTGGTCAGTGGCAAATGGACCTTTGTTGAAAATCCTTTGATGACCTCTTGTAACACTTAGGAGGAATACAATTGTGAAATTCTTGAGCAACGGTGAAACAGAAAATGCTTGGTCTTGTTTCCTTTGCTTTAGCCTGATTTAAAAAGAAGGGGGGGGGAAAGCTAATCTTAGGTAATCTCACAGCCTGTGTATATTGCTGGGTATTCTCCAACATTGTGCTTTGAAACCAACTGAATAGTGTGCAAGCTGGAGGGCTCAGAGATGCTACATTCATTTGAAACTTTGTTAAAACTTTGCAAAGTTCAGTTACAGATCATGTAAGTGAAATTTTAAGTGCTGAGGGAAAGGTTGTAGAAAGACCTGGAGGAATCCCTGTTGAGGAGAGGCCTTCTTCCTATTCCCGTGCATTCATCTCAGAAGAGACACAAAAACAAAATGCAGAAGACAACTTCATAAGAAACTGGATGGCTTTAATTCTGATGCTGACAAAACAAATATGTATTGTCCTCTGTGAGTCTTGGCACTTTTTCAGGCCCTTCTTCTGAATCAGCCATGACAGTAAAATAAACAATTTTAAAGCAGCTTAGCTTTAAAATGGCAATTGCATCTGAAAAAAAGGTTATGTCCATTCTTAATTACAGTTAAGCACCTGCTACCAGTGAGATGAGTAGGGCTTCTCATTTTTTTAAAGTATTTTGTTTTTTCTGTTTTTCTCTTCTGTGATAAATAACAAGCATTTTCTGTGTGATCTCACTGCTGGGTTGTGGATGCCCCAGCTCTTCCCTGGCTTTCCAGGAGGGAATTAATCTCTACAATAAGCTGTATAATGAACTGGAAAGTTAAGTAACTACGTGTTCAAAGACTGAAATGGGGGAGAAGACAGAACCAAAGCTTGTCAAATTATAAGACTCTTAGGCCAAAAACTCCTTCTGATAATTGTAAAGCATCAGAAATCCATATAGCATTTAAATGAAGATATATCATCTTGATAGTGCCTTACCAGAAAATTAGGCAAGCTGAACTAAATTAGTTCATAGTATTGATTTATTGTTTTTTATGAAAGTCAAATTCACTCTACAAGCAAAGATTGTGCAGTTTTTGTAATTGTAATTATTATTATCCTTCCTAAAAGGATGCAGCAGGCTTTTCCCAAATATCACTGTAGAACTCAAGGTAGGTGACACGTGATTTTTGTTTGTCTTGTGGAAATAATGTCTGTACCCACAATTTATGTAATTAGCCATTTTTTTTCTTTGTTAAACCTTTTGATAAATGTTGCAGCACAACATGAATCAAATTAATAGTGTGAAGGACTGATACATTGTATAATAAATATGTAAAGCATATTAATATTTTATATTCACACTTTTTATTAATGATGATTAAGATGAAAAAATATTTTTTGTGTAATTCCTATGAATTCAGTATTAAAAAGTCCTTGCTTTATTTTGGCATTTAGAGTTCTATCTCACAAAACTCTTAAATTAAAGCATAGTTATCACTTATGTCCCTAACTAATCTATAAAGTTCATTGTTTGATTATTTCTGGAAAAAAGTCATGCAGAGAATTACTGAACAGCACTATTCTGTGATAGTGATAGTAATTTATTTTCCTTTTATATATTGTCTGGTGCTAATCTCTATTCTTTGCCTGTAATTGGATTGAATTGTAACGTGCCTTTAGGAAAGCAATGGTGGGAGAGGAAAAGTTGCAAAATTCAGCAGCTGAGAACAATAATTACATTTAAAAAATTATATTGTTATATTTCTCCACTGGCCTATTTTCTACTTATTTAGATTGCATCAGAATAAATAAGTTACAAAGCATATTGTTCTTCATGCTTCTTTTCCTACGGCAGTGGTTGGTGCAATTTTTTATTCAGTAGCAAGAAATCTCAGCAGAGGAGCACATCCTCCTGACTGGGTTGGATCTTCTCCACTGCTGGAAACTTGCAAAGCTCCAGAGAAGTCAAAGACAGACCTTTGGCAATTTATAGTGAGGGTTTGCTGGCCATAGACCCCCAGAAAGTAAACAGAATATTCTGTTAATGGGGTAACGTATGATCCAGCTTGACATTATCCTTTATTTCAGCAGAGTTCCCTATCTGAATCATTCCGTTACTGAAATCAAACTCTAGGCGAAGTTCAGTCTTGTTCTTTGTGGTCACACAGCCCTCACAGCTGCTGCTGTGGCAGCCCTTCCAGGTACTGCTTGTGTGAAAGTCTGGCTGTTGGTCAGGCTGTTTCAGTACAAGTTGGGAGGTCTCTTTTTTGGATAAGATTTTGCATGAGCTTTGGGAGTTTGCTTTGTTTTGTTTTAATAAGGTGCTTGATGTCAAAGCAGCTACTAATACCACG